TTAGGTTGAAAGTGATGCGTTATTGTCCTGCCGAGATTTAATCGTTCGTCTGTCACCATCATATAAAGTTGTTCGATTGGAATTAGCAGATCTTGCTTTTATCTCCCGTGCTTATAATCCTTCCAGTTCATTGAAACCATTGATTACTATACCTGGTCGACCAACCTACGCCGATGTTGTTTGTGGTCGTGTTGCCTCTGCTGCCCAATAAGTGTGTGTGTGTGTGTGTCCTTTTTATTTTCTTTTCAAACAGTTTCATGTGAGCATTGAGAACAAACAGGAAATCAATGTGGATGGTTAAGTCAAAAAGAAACAAACACAAATCAACATTTTATCTTTCTCTCTCTCTTCTTCTTCTTCTTCGTATTTTTTTGCTTAACCCACACTTGACGTCGTATGTCTGATATTATCATGTATGTATACATATATAAAAATCTATTCTCCATCTAATTTTTGATCTCTTATCGCGTTTTCTCCATCACCGTTGCTGAGAGAGAATCAAACATCTTTGTAAATTGAGCAGAATATAAAAGAGAATGCATTCCATCTTGTCTCGATCAGCAAGTAAGTGACACAATCTTGTCTGTCCTTTCGAAAAACAAAATTTTCATGGAGAATGGATTTAATTCATTTATCTCTATTTTGTCTTCTATGTCCACATCACAGTCTAAGAAATCTTTATTTTTCTCTTTCTCGTTTTTCCTCTATGTATAAAATCAATTCAATGTATTTATTATCCTCTGTATTTTCTTTGTGCTTCTATTCTGTAAATAGAGAAGATCTCATTATATTCTTACGTTCATTTTTCTTTACTTTTTATTTTATTGTAATATTTATCACTAGAATCCTTGTTTCTTTCTCCATCCTCTCCGCCTTTTCTCTCTCTCTCTCTCTCTCCTTAGAATTTCTATCCCGTACAGAGACAAAGAAGAAACGAAAAAGAACTATAAATAAATCGATATGTAGATACACAAAAATAGACGCATTCTTGTGCTCATATGCAAAACTTCAATCGAGGTGAAATCATCGAAATGATAAGACAATAGAAAGTCATTGATTGCGATGATATAAATCGATGAAAAAAATCAAGGTTAACTTGGTGATTTATTTCGGGTATGATGCAAAGAAAGAGAGAGAGAAAAAACTAAGTGAACGACGAGTGCGTACATAAAAACAAGAAAAAAGTCAATAGAATTGTACTAACATATACAAAATTTGAAATCGATACGATTTATCATTGAAATAACACATGTCAAGTTTCTCGTATTCTTGCTTTGTAATCTAATATTGTGTTCATGGACAAATATCATATGAGCATTTGATAGATTGTATACAGAATATCTAAATAATATGACTGTATATGTGAATAATATATTAATTACATATTTTCCAAAGAAAAAAAGGTGACGTTAATAAAAAAAAAAAGTTTTTGTAGACTCGATTCTTTATATCTACGTTTCTTCCTCGCTAAAAATCATATTTTTCTGCTCGTTGGTTGATCGAGTTTGACATTTTCTTTGATTCATGGTAAACATATATTGATGATGGTTTATCTTCGTATGAAGTGAATACGTTTTTTCGAATAATTTATCAGATTCATTAAAATACTTTCTATTTTGTGACGCCTATTAAGGAAATGATGTGAAAAAATGAAATATAAGCCAAGAAGGAGAATAACAACTTTCTCACGCCACCGATTTGACATAATGTTCAAGAATACTTGAAATAGTTAGAAAGGAAAAAACACGTATGACGTCAATGGATTTGTTTCGCTTTGAAGAAGCTCTTTTCAAATTATTCTCGACAAGAATAGAAACCGACATCGATAATAACATGTTTTATCGCGAAATAAACATAAATACGTGGATAGCCTTGAAGAATAAAGAGAAACACAAGTATTCTATTACAGAACTTTCCAGCTGATAAGAAATTAGAGAGGGTAGTTGGCCTATAAGGTCAATAACCACATCGTTTTTATCTCTTTTACAATCAGCTGTGTATATTTGTCTTTCTTACCTAGACGAATTTCTCTTTTTATTTATTATCAAGGACATATGTATCGAAACCAAGTGACATCTTTTGTTTTTCGTGATTGACCACTAACCATGCAATCTGTTCGTTCTCATTTTCTTGAAAATAAACTTGAAAAAATGTTCTCTAGTTTGTCTTCTTGTCGACCGAGTATTTTGTTAGCATCTGTTCTACGTTCACCAACAACTCGTTCGATAAGTAAAAGATCCGATGAAGATGCCGAATCTCAACAGCGTTTGTCCGTAACGAAAAAAATGCGCTTGTTAGGATTACAAAGTAATCAAGCACGGAAAGCATTGTCGATTTACGATGATTATGTACATCGTCAGAAGAAACTACCGGATTTACGTATGTTCGCTGTGGCAATTAACTGTGCGATGATTGCGGAAGATTTAGCGAAAGGTTGTGAAATTCATCAATTTATCGAAAAGGACTTTCCACATTTAAAAGATAATTTGATGCTGAAACAACAGCTACGTTATTTTTATATAAAATGTAACGATCAACAATCAGCTGATAAACTTTTTCAACAAACATCAACGAAACCGCAAGAAAGTCAAAACACGATATCGCAGGATTTGGGTGTGACTAATAAAAAACAATGAAAAAGCGTATCTAAGTCTTGTCAAATAAATATCTAATGCGTGCTATTTCTGTTGTATTGTATGAGCAAAGATTTATGTTTCTATAGAATTGTGAATCATCGGTTCGTAAGGTAAAAGAGTGTTGTATGTCGCATTCTCCTTATCTCGGGCAAAAAGTACTTTTGCATGCAAAATATTTTTCAACCAATCATCAAAATACAGCCAGTAACGCTTTTTTAATGGATATTTCATAAAGAGACAAAATGGGCAATATCAAACCTAAACAAATCAATTACTTAAGAAATATGAAAGGAAATGAATGTTAGATAAGTAGTTTAATGCATTCGAGGTATTATGAATATGATGACGCTGTATGCTCGAGATTTCAGTAAGACATTGATAGTTTTGTCGATCGTATTCAGTTTCCTAGGCCTAATATCAAAATTACGATTGTCAAGTCGTTGGCTTTTATTGGAAATTCTTGATGAAATTGAGACTAATCAGGGTGTATGCATAGATGTTTATTCAAAAAGAAAACAATCTTTGTTAAATCCTTTTTGTACACAACTAATAATTCGTAAACACAAAAGACGTGACGCAAAATTTAAAAAGCGTTGTTGATTTTGAACATCAAATAACTGTAATGAAACACTTTCGTGATATTAAATCGAATACAAGTCTATGGTAAAGCGTCTTATCGTTTTAGCTGTCTGTTTCCCGATGCCGATCTTTCCTTTAAATCTGTAATTGGTTGCAAGTGGAGTGGTTTCCATCTGAAGAACCAACTAATTTGATAGTCACTGTGTGTCGAATATTTCGTAATAATCTGTGTCGATGTCTGAAATAGAGGTTGGTAGTTACTGTATAAATGAAAATACTTGGTACTTACTAGAATGGCATTTGTTATAGGAATATCGGGCAATGTCATTTTTGAGTTTTCTTTTACATATACTCGGATCTTTTCCAAAGAATAATTCGTTCGAAGAAAAGAATATAGACCTTTTTTTCACAGTTGTTCTTACATCGCTTCCTTAATCCTACGTAAAAACTCCTTCTCTGTTATTCCTTGTGCAATTGTATTGATTTTAACTTGCCGACTGTCAGACTCGTATACTTCATCTGTTTCTTTATTGTTTTCTTCCCTCGCTTCCAAAGGAAAGTCTGCATCGTCTCGCCCATACGCATTCTTTGGGATGTGTTTCTCGTTAGAACGTTGAGTTTGAGTTTGTTTCGCTTCACTGGTAAATAAGGCATCTTTATGATATTGCCTGAGAAATTGTATCTCATGCATAGCTGCTGCAATTGTGGTAATTTTTGTTCCATGTTTGCAGCTGTCTGTTACCTTAATTGTTGTCCATCACATCCGGTTTGATGAACAAATAAATTAAATAAACAATTGAAACTAGAAAAGATAAAACACAAGAAGTGGTTTCCTTTGATGTGCCATAAATTTTCATACTCTGAAGTATTTTGTAGACTGTCTCCATTTCAAGTCGTCCAATGGCCTATGCCACTTGGTGTTGGTGTGTCTGGTGGAATATAAACTAATTCGATTGCAGGTTGAGTTGTATTATTACCAATGACTTGTTCGACATACCCATTTTTATGCAATATTATAGTTCGTCTGTCGATCACTTTAGATATGAGGGTAAGAGTGGAAATGTGGGATAAGTTAAGGAATTCTATATGATGTAAATAGTTTGTTAAATCGAAGCACAGAAAGTTTTCGAGTACATGTACAATACAAAAATCCAATGGCGAGGTTCGGCACAATATCACCATGAATAGATTGATGTAGAAGAAGAGTGTTTTTGAAAACACTAGCAGAGTGAATGATTTCCCATTGGAGACATATATATGTGACTCCTTTATGCTTTCCACATAATCACTCGATCGCGTTCTTGTCCATTCGCATCTAACAATGGCTGATCATCGTCATTTTCGTCGTCATCATCGATCATTCCATCCGGACCCCATCCGCATGTAGTTGATGGAGTTTCATTCATTCGTGTTATCCTTGGTGTTGTTCGATCCCTATAACACACAAACAAATGGGGTCTTTCCAAAGAAAAAAAAACTTTTCTCCTTACTTTGATTGGCGTTTTCTTTTCCGAGGAACTGCTGTCGACGAGAGAACTTGGGTTAATATCATTGGTATTGATTCAATCACAGCCAAGTTGAGTTTCTTGAAATATAATAAATAATCGGTTGTTATTTCTTGTTTATTTCTTCTTTCTCTAAGAATGACGTGATTGATCTTGAAAACATTCTTTTCTACGCCTGAGTAATCACCAACCGCGTCGACCACTGAGCCGAAAAAATGTCTTTCGATGGCATCACCAGCTTCTCCAGTCAGTGCATGGGTGGCTGGTGAAGAAAATCGTTCATCATAATCGCCAGATGGCATCTGACGACCCATTTCCGCAAGACAAGCATGAGCAATTTCATGAAGTAATTTGGCATAGAAGAAAAAAACTAAACGGGAATAGATTTCGCTATCATTCTCATTGATATCGATTGATCCATCGATAAGAGATTTGTCCATCGTAATTCTATCGAATGACGAACGATGTCGATGACCAAGAGTAAATGTCGACCAGTTATCGGCAAATGAATCGATTTTCAAGCGAATATTTTGAAGAACTGTACATTGATGTCGGTAAATTGTGCGAATATGTTTGAGAGATTCACTTAGATCAAATAATGGCTCATTGCGAAGAGATTGAACACACGTTTGCGCGAATTTTACCGAAAGATTAGGATTAGCTATCGTGATTTCGATCATTCGAAGAGCTTGAATGAAAGATGAAGACTTCAACAGTTGAGTATCAATTCGATGTTGCTGAAAATATCGAAATTGTAAGTCCATATTAGATGCGATTTCTGAAACAGAAATATCAAACATTGAACGAGGAAGATACTTTCTCCGATGATGAAGAACAATTTTTTTGTAATTCTCGGTGTCAACAATACGAGATTGATGAGAAACTGAAAATGTTGTTCATTAACAAAGAATATGTTCTGTTTGTATTTGTCAAAGAGGCATTGTCTACAATGTAGACTCTACATATCTAATCAATTCTGTGACGTGATAGGCAGTTAAAATGAGTTGAGTGAACTCAGATCTCGATAGATGTCTCCCTCAGTGAATACTGATTTTACCCTGATATATCGTTAAACGAAATTTTTCACCATATACACTTCTTCTATCAATATTGTCCAAATCAAATAAACAAGTAGAATAAGTTGACATTTTTTAGATTGGAAAAGCCCAGAACTCATGTTTATAAACGATACAAAACAATTTCAACGCAACTACTAAAATATCATCATTTTCTATATAGTAAAAACCCATATTGCGATTAATTCGATTGAAAAGTTATGAAAATTTTCCACTAATCTTTCCTTGAGATGTTATATTCGCGATACTGGTTATCCATATCTCAACCTGCTGGAATGGAAGCTAATAATGTAAAGAGATGATCGAAGATTATCATAATGTCACTGTTTGTCAGGCTCGTTGGCAATGGAATATGTGCAATATGCAATCATTGTTTGTCATTGGATCAATGATTACAAGCGACCGTGTTTGAAGTGTATCAATAAAATAGTTATGCATCTTTTTCTTGTCAAGTTATCTATTCATAGTGTTAACATCAAAGCGATTTCGATAGGTTTTCTGCTGATGAAATGAAAATTATTTCGGCCAACAATCGTTGTCAACATTGCGAAGATTTCCATTTAGAGTCGTGTTTTCGATAAATTGTACTTCGTCCTATGTTTTTCAAATACAATCTCGCAATTGAACTTTTATCACATTTGCACTATATCCCATGGAAGAAATATTATATTTCTTTGCTTATTATTTTCTGACTTTTTCTTTCGTGTCATTGTTTAATCATGTAGAATTGATGTTTTTTTTCACTCTGTACAAAATATTATCAAAAAAGAGAAAAGAAGCGCAGTACACCTCGACGAGTTGAATAGAAGGAAAAAATGTTTAAAATACACACATACACTTATTGAGAGAGAACACACATGAAGAAAAAGAAAGGGTCTCATGACTAGTCATATTTATAGAAAGAAGGAAAAGAATAAACATAGATGGGACGGACTAAACAGCACCTGTTCGAATAGAGATACAAGATGTCAATAAAGTTTCAGTTCAATGATGAAGATGTTAATGATGGTTTCCATGGTTTAACACGAACTCGATAAAATTTTGTACCTAATGGTACATTAAAACGATTATTTGGTTTCTTTGCTTGACAATATTCTTTATCTGTTACTTGACCAAGTAATGGTGTAGTTGTTGGATTGAAATTATTATTTGCTCCAAACAAAGCTGAGTTGATCATTGATGTATTGATTAATGGTGCAACAGATGATGTGCTATTCTCAGTAGATATCGTATCGATAACACTTGTTGTATTAGTTGGTTGTTTCGATTGAATATTAAACAGCTCATAACAGTCTGAATGAATGAAATGAAGTGTCGGTAAATAAGTGTAGATCATGTAATGTTGATAGGTTGTATCAAAGTAAATGATCACATGATCAGATCGATTAACAGTGAAGAACGAAATTGGTGTTGCTTGTGGTGATGAATGTGTTGAAAGACGCGACATAGGTGAGATACTTGGTGGTGAATTGAGAATTGATGATGAAACAGGAAGTGGAGTTTGTGGTGATAAAGGTGCTGCCATTTGATTTGGTGGCGAAGCAGCAAATGGTGTATATAATTCCACAGCAGTACTTGATTCATTTGGAGATGATTTGAAACATGTATCTATTAGAATATTATTCACCGCTGCGCATGTTTTTGGTGACGATGCTGCAGTACCAGCAGCCAACATACTTTGAGCAATAAACGTACTTGGCATCGATATTGGTTCACTACGTCGAAGAAATGCTTGCCTTGTCGTCACCATTGTTGTCGTTGTTTCATCAGGTGTAGCATGTTCATCCTCTTTATTGATTACTTGTTCATCGTCAGTTGTCGATGATGTGATCATTGAATTTGCAACTGACGGCATCATTGGTGGTGGTGTTGACGAGAGTGTATAAAGATTTTGTAAGTTTTTAATACATTCTTTTAATTTAACAATTTTCAAACGTTTATCAGCTAATTGTTGTTCTAACTGACCAATTTGTTTCTTTTGTCCACCAGTGGCATTTTGAACAGCACGTTGGATTGCTAAATTGAATTGTATTTGTTGATCTTTTGTTATCGAACGACGCATAATTGCATCATCGGGATGATCATCGGACGTTGTTTGTGTAGTTTGATCACAGTAGTCAATCTGATTTGTTTCTGTTGATTGATCTTGATTAGAGAATATAATCATACTGGTTTGTTGATCGAGTTTTGGTTGTTCATCTGTTTGAATTTCCATAGTTGTTGTCGAAACTTGTTTCTTTTCATGTTCAGTTTTGATTTGATTAACAGTTTCTTGATGTTCACTACGAAGTTTTTCTAATTCGAATTCATAATCTGATTGTAATGCTTTGACAATTTGTGATGTTTCGATATCAGAAGTACGTCGAAATTCTTCGAAAACTTTCTCAAGTGCTGCATATTTCGTCGTTAATTCTTGTTTAACTTGCTCACTTACATCATACTGAATTTTTAATGTTTCATTATCTTGAATAAGATTAGTAACTTCTGTTCGTAATAGTTCGATTTGTTCTTGATGTGCTTGATTAGATTGTTGAAGACTTGTTATCACTTTTGAGATTGTTTCATGATAGTTCAATATTAACTCATGTTGATTTGTTTTTGTTTGCTCATATTGCGTTTTCAATTCGAGAAATTCTTGTACAATGGCACGCGTGTATTCACTGTCGGTTTGTTGCGACGCACAAGGACGTGATGGAGGTGAAACAGCCATTTCAGTGGATGTATAAACTGTTTCCAAACTGCATTGAATATAATCATCATCTTCTTCATTGTTACTCGTGACATTCGTTGATGATGGGGAAGTTTCTGAGACTGGTTCTATAGAAGAAAAGCTTTCATTTGTGGAACTGATTGTGCGTGACAAACCTTTTTCCATGGGTGTTTCTTCATTTGTTTGAGGAAGAGTGTCATTCTGAATGGTTTGAGTCATCATTTGTTCCGATGATGATCCAACATCGGATGATGATTGGGATCGAACAACTGTTGATCGACTACTACTGTTGGTTGGAGATGGAAGCTGCTTTGTTGTATCACCAGGAATGGCTGCAGATGTTGAAGGAATAAACACTGAAAGGGGTACTGTAGTTGGAGTTTGTTTGTCATCAATAAATATATCAGTACAACGAATTAACGAAGCGAGATCGAGGGAAGGATCATTAATCGATAGTTCGCTAAATAATTAAACAAAATCAGTATTAATTCTATGATGAAACGAAGATTGTACTTCGATGTTCGTTGTTTTATCTCAGGAAATTTCTCGAATAGTTCATCAAGTTCGGATAGAGTTATTTCTGGTAGATTTGTATCCAATAATGACAATGGTTCTTTCTATAAAAGAAATGAAGTTTTCAAAGAAAAAACGCAGAAGATGATCTTACGATAAAGAATGTTGGTGTTATTTTAAGACCTGGTAAGAGATTGAAAAGAAAATGTGGTTCTAAAAGAAAATGAAATGATTATAATGACGATTTGGAGAATTTTCACAAGAATGTCTTACCATACTGCTTAATAAATTGTTCTCTTTTAGAAACTTCTCCACTATGAATACTTTTGGATTCACGATGAATTGTTACGGAAAACTGAAAAAGAAATTCTTTCGACTTTTATCAATTCACATTTAAACAACGAACTTGATTAAAAATATTGGAATATTCTTTTCGACGAATACATTCATATAAAAACGAATAATAAAGATGTGGCGCTTGATTCAATTGACGTAGAAATCCCATTGTTTTTCTCGTTCGACTTAGTTTATGAATATACAGCGATTGTTTCGCATCATAATCAACCAAATGTCGTTGAAGAAGCATCATGTTTCTATGAAAAAGAGAGATTAAATCAAATTTGGGAACATCATGTACGAGTATCGTCATACTTAAATCTTCGGTGTAATTGATCGATAATGTCCTGTTTGGATCTGCGAATTTTTTTCTCAATTTCAATCAGTTTATTGTGTTTTGTTGCAATTTCATGTAAATTCTTCGAATGAATACCTGATATGTCTCGGATTAATCCCAATTCTTTTTGATTTGCGACATTTGAACTGAATTTTTGTCGTTGACTAACAAAATACTAGAACCAGCAAACCATATGATCAAAATCGTCAACAAATTTCTTCTTTTTACCTCCGCGTAATCTTTCTGTTCATGTTGCAATTGTTTCGCGCTAATTAATTCATTTTGTAAAAGTGCATATCGTTCTTCGATTCCGACCATATGCTTCAATTCAGGATTGGTGATTTTTTTCGATAAATCCTCGATCTCATCATTCATGGATTTAAACAATTCATCCGTACACTAAATCGTATTCATGAAAATATCATTTTCTCAATCAAATTTCCTCTACCTCTTCGATAGTATGTGTACATCCAATGATAACATCATCAATTTTCATGTTAGCTAACTGAACAACAAAGGAAAAGTTATCGCAATGTGAAAACCTCCTTGGAAATTACTTGAGCAGTGATCCATTGGAATAAAGACATTTCTTCTGTTATTTCATCTTCACTCTCAGCTTGTGGAAGAACTGTGGTACTCGTAGTTGCAGATGAACTGATTGATGATGATGAGGTTGAAGTGGAAACAGTTGACTTGTTGTAAATTCCAGTTGAATTGCCGATCAGAGCGATTAATTTACTTGGAAGTTTCAAATCATGAAGAATTTCAATTGCATTTGGGAGACTAAAAAATTAATTTCGATGAGTTTATGTTCAAGATTGAACAAGATATATAAACCTTTGAAACAGTTCTAAATACGATGGTCTCTCGGATAGATAAGCTTGATAAGAACGATCAAACGAATTTCGATTAAGTAGAAAACTCCTAAAAATGCACGTATGCGAATAACACAAAGAAAAACAAGGACATGAAAACAAACGAGAGTGTATCCTCGATATTCGCAATCACTGCCATCCATCCTTGATATTGTGCTTGTTGTTCACGAATCAATTTTTCGCAGTTCTGAACAATTCTTGTTGCGTATCGATTATAATCCTAAACAATAACTTTCAAATGCTGAAAATTTCCCGAGCAAGATCATTACTTGTGCGATATTCGTTCGTTGAACAATTGTTTCATAAGTTGGCGGCATATCTAACCATTTCTTAACTGTTGGATCATCTACTAATGTCATACTATTCGACGTTAATAATATGGACATTGGTCGTGATTTTTCTAAATGGGATTTATCCAAAAGATAAATGGGATTTTCTTCCTAAAAGAATTGTCTTTCAGATTNGAGAAAAATTCAATGAAAAAGAATTATTATTTGGTTAGACGTACCAGCATGTCGAGCAGCTTTCAAGGCTTCGTTAGCTAAAATAAACATTTTGATGAGGAAAAGATGGGAACAGAGTGAATAAACCTTTATCACGAGTTAATTCGAAAGTTTGTTGAGCTCAATTAAACGTTCATACTAATATTAGCATCGAAACCAAGTCAGGTATCTAATTATTACCTGAAGCTTTGACATCATGAGCTACTTTTGCTAATTTTTCTTTGACTACAATATCAAACTTATCAGTTGATATATAAATAACTCTGAAATTACTCAGCAACATCAGCACATTCATCGGCAAGTCTACTTCCAGCTTTATCGTTTACATATTCAACATCTCCAGCAACTCTCGGTGAAAGCAGCATCTTTAACCCAGAATGATCTATATGCATGATGAAAATTGAAATGAAAACGCCAATAAATAAAATTGTACCATTTCAATAACTTTATCTTTCCGATCAGCAGGAGTAGCAGCTTCAACAACTTGTTGAGTTGCTGACTTCTCAGCAAATGTCACCGTGATAAACAGAGCAATGCAAATAAGTGAAAAGAACTTGTTGAGTGTCATATTTAGAAATTGGTATAATCTAAACATAAAGAAGTGAGCAAATGTAATTCAATGAACGAGAAACGGATATAATCATCGAAGTAAAATATTATTATGTATGAAATGAAAATAAAGGCAGAAATAGAGAGAAGAAAATGATGGTCTTTGCCATGCGTTATTAAATAAGTGAATCGAATGTGATATGTGGTTGATATGCAGTTGTTAATAAATAATTACTAACGAATAAACATTGGATAGATATTAGTGTTGTATGCCAGTGTTTGGATTGGTGAAACAAGTTGAATTACTTGATTGTTTGACCGGTTATCTTTCACTGAATGTAGACAAAGAACGAAACGTCTGCGTCGTTCAATTGCTCTCACGCTTCTAGTTCACAAATAGTCGGGAATCAAAAAATGTGTAGAAGAAATGTAAGATTCTGTTGATGATTTGTTTTATTAAAAATATTTTATTCAAACCAAAATTTTCACAGTGATTGGCATTTTTCGATGAAGATTATCGTTTTAGACAATGAATCCCTTAACGATTTCTAGTCTAGAAAATCAAGGTCAAGTAGGAATTGTGAAAAAAAGTGTATGAGATCACGCGGTTAAAAGAACGATCAGGTTTTGTTAGAAATGACGTCTCTAATTTTACAATCATTTTTTAGGGAAACCAACTACCCATGGGAGATCCTCTTGCTCGATTACAACAAATAAATACGAATCAGGCAATAGCTATCATGGAACTTCAAGATCAGTAAGCGGATTTATTGGATGAAATTTCTATGATAAAGCAAGATGATACTGAATTAAAAGCAAAGATCACTGCTTTAATCGAGAAGAATGAAAACTACTAGTTATTTCTGTGTACGTTGATTTGTTCATAATAGTAATAACAGTAATTGAAAATTTTTTATAGGAATTTTGGGAGTCATTGTAGGAATGCAACCCAGAACGATGGTTCCTGAAACAGGATTCCATGAATTTCCGACAAAATCCCTGAGGAAACTTCGCCATTTCTGAGCAGAACCCGTCCGGAATCCGATGGAGAAATGCGGTAACCGTTTCCAGCTACCGGTTTTGAGATGTCTTGTCGGTTCCGGCACAAACCAGATAAATTCGGTCACGGTATTGGCTCATCCGGAATACCACGGAACCGGCCGTTTCCGTGCCGGATTGTTCGACCTGGGAAGTAGCAATATCCTTACCGACTTGGTTCAGCAAATAAAAACATTTCTGTTGTGTAAATTTAGCTTCAATTCTTTGTGTATTGTGAAGTCTTTTTCCAATGTGCTGAAATCGTGCGGATGTCAAAATTCGGTGAATAAATTGACATGTTACAATTGAATAGTTCTAAAAAATCAATCAAGTGAAATAGGAGAACCTTCAAATAAAAACTAAATTTTTTTCTATATCTGATTAAAAAAGAACTCTTTCTCGAATCTGTCAATTTATTTGGTTTTGAAAGCTTTGATTCATGGAGAATTTTTATCGAGTTTGGAAACTAAAGGCGAAATTTCGAGGAATTTGGCGGATATTGAAAACAGTTCTAAGAAAAGCATTCTTTGAAAATAAATACTATTTATTGAATATTTCTTTTCAAGTTTAATACATTTCGATGTTTATAGTCAATATTGCATTAAAATCTTTCGCGTCCGGTTCTTATGTTATTATTTATATCTACGCTAATGAAACATTTCCAACACAAGGTCGAAATACTGGTATGGGTGTCTGTTCGATGATAGCACGTATTGGTGCAATTATAGGAACATATTCGAATGATCATTTAGTACGTCAATCAAACGAATTTAGTGTTTTGCATTAAACGATCGTTTTAGACACGAGCATGACAACATTCACCGATGGTTGTGTATGGAATTACATCGATATTTGCGATGCTTTTGGCAACGATATTTCCTGAAACATTAGATAAACCATTACCTCAATCAATTGGAGATGTTGAACAAATGGAATTGGCTTGGTAAAGATTTTGTTGGATGAGATATTGAAGATGAAGAAAGTGATTTTTGTTGTAGTTCAATTGGCCGAGCGAGAAAATATCGACATCGACCGACGAATGGTGTTAAGGAAGTTCATGAAGATATTTCGTCGGAAAAATATTTGAAAGACGATACTGACTTTTAAAGAAATTTCTCCGAACGATTTTTTCTGAAAAATATGAATAGAATTCAATAAATTAGTCGATGTATATGTCGTAGTACAGATCAAAATTCAGTTCCGTTTTAATTTGAACTAGCACAGATTAAAATTCTTTCAACTGCATGAAATTCTTTATTTCTTCTAACTAAATTCTCTTTTGATGAATATAAAATATTCTGCTCATCAATTTCCATTAAATTAAAATATTGAACTTATGACTAATGTTCTAATGTAAAATACTTTCTTCATTATGTCAAAATAGATTTAAATGTTTTCTTGTTCAAGTTACTATTTAGACGGCCGAAATAAAGATCGATATACCTGGAAGTTAATCTTCTAGCTTTATCATGCATAGACATTTCACCTTAAAAAATTTTAGTCTATCCTAGTTCGATTTCAAACTGAACTGGATTTTGATCTGTACTACAACATGTATATCGATTTGATACAAAAAATCGAAGATCTGTGAAAATAAAGATTCTTGAATGAAATAGTTTTGGTCAATAACAACTTGCAAAATGCGTTGTTTTTCGACGAAAACAAAAAAACTATTTTTTCCTCTCGACAGCGAGTACTATTTTAATCACCTCGATATCAATCTTGCTCCGCAAAACCGCCGTTCTGTCTCAAACGAAGACCTATACAACGTAAAGAACATTGGTATATTCCAAGCTATTAAAAACATACCTTAAAAATAACATAGACTTTCGACGATAAACTTTGTGTAAAGCTGGTAACAGAGATGAAGCTTACACAGTCCTTTAGAAATATTTGTTGAAGATTGGGACGTGGTAATTGAAAAGAAAAATAATTGACTGAGTTGGAAATTTTTGTCTGCAAGAAAAGCTAGTTGGAATGACTTGCTCTTTATCATTCCGAGAAAGTATCCAGTTTATTACTATAAATACAAACGGATTGTTTGGTATATTTATCACAAATCCCATCCAGAAGTTTCAATTACACTGATATTGTCTTACACGATCAAGGAATTGATCATATCGTCTTTCAACAACCTGCAACCAGATAAAAAAGTACGATAGATGATCTGATCTGATATCTAAAATTGATTTGATGTATTTTAGAATTTTTGATTCAATATGAGCGTAAGTTTAGCAGATTTTGCTTTGGATAATAATCTGTTCGATTTGTTTTATATAGAGTAACGGTAGCGATTGTCCTCCTGGTCAAATGGAAACACCGGTTGAGAAAAAGGTAGATTCACCATCAAAGCGTTCAGTGAGTTTTGAACTTCTTTCATCGTCTTATTCGTTTTCATACGATTTTTTCAGTTCAATTTTTGTCATAATCATTCAACATCCAGTTTCAATCGGAATCCATTGACAAAATCATTCATATACGACTCAATGAACAACGATCTCAGCCATCGATTCATCTGAATGAACATTACCGAGGAGTTTCTCTACTACATTCTTTCGTACAAACGATCTTTTGTGAATAATTATACATTATTTCACTTGTATTATACACAAGAAATGCTTTTCTTCTCGCTTATCGATCTCGACATTTTATTCAATAAATCGAATTCTCTACTCACAAAAGAAATTCAACTAAAAACCGATCTATAAACCACTCCGACATAATTCATACAAAGCCTAGATTTCATTTATGTAATTAGATTTCCATCATTTCCATCAAATTTTAGCTTATTGGACGATTCATCAAATCATTTTGATATTCCAGTGGACAAATTCATCACCATCACAGCATTTGTTGATACAAAGTAAGGAATATGTTTACCAAAAGAATGTTCAGCCATTAAGATTTATAAGTAAACTATTCATTCATTATTGCAGTTCAATACCTGAACACCTTCATCATTTAACCAAAACAATCTCTACTGAATTTATACGTGAATCTGATATAGATCAAGAAAATGGTGGAAAAAACATGTATGAACGATAAATAAAACATTAAAATATTTGAAGTGAATTACCGTTCTAATTTTAGTATTGTTTATGAACCATCTACTTTACCTACCACATGTATAACGAGTTCCAATTGTTTGAATAATGTTCATCAGCAACAGCGTACAGTAGTAATAAATACCAGACAAGGTAATCAGTTGGTTTGCTTGATCATAATGATGTTAGGATTGCAACTGATGTTTTATTATTTAGAAAATAAAGAAAATCGATTTTGTCTTGATTTAATACCAACTGATGTTTCAAATTTAGTTCATCCATCAGACGTTTTACCAATTGATTCATTTGATTTAAAAGCAAATCGACAACAAACTAATCAAGTGAGCCCTTCAACTGCTGTTCGTTCGATTGTTACTGATCTGCTTCGTCAATATTCTTCTCATCCATCGTCACCATCAAAATCAAACAAACGAAAACGTAGTGAAGGTACATTTGGTGAAGAAATTACATCCAGTAACATGTTGAATGAATTAAAAGACAAAGCATCTCAACAAAATCCATCTAAACGAATACGTAAGTCAAGAATTTTATATAAATATCACATCTATTTCTTGTCGCGATATTAACATCGGAAGAGCCAATACAAAAAAAAAAAGATTAGGAAAAGCAACAATTAAATCAATTACTTCATCTCAAGCAATACGTGCTATTTCAACTGTCCAAGCACCACCATCACCAGTTCTAATTGCAGATTAATATTTGCTTAGTTACTACATTTGTAATTGTTTTTTTTACAACTTTAAGTATTTCACAATTCTTTTAACGTTTTTCATCATGTTTGTTTTTTTCTCAATTATCATTGTGTATTTCTAATACTTATTCTATTTGAAGAAGATGTTTTGCTTTTCATTTGAAAGATGTATGAAAATAAATCAATGAAACAAAAACTATTATTATCATTATTTTATTCAATCTGTACAATAATATTTCACGAAGCCAATTCAATTGTTTCAGTCTTCTTTCTCTAATGATAAGAGCGATCTCCTTGAAAAATTTTGTATACAGTATGAATTCTAAATAAGATGGTTGTTCACGTTCAAACACTGATTTTTATGCTTTTACACTAAAAGTATTCAAATAGAAAAATCATCAAACAAGAAAAAACGATCTTTTCCTGTTTTAAATATCGCGATACAATTCCATGGAATAAAAAGCAAGAGGAAAGAGTCTAGAATAGCTAATCCTTGATAGATAGAATCCAATTAAACTGAAGAATATATTTGTTTTAAGATCAATGTGGTCTTCGACAGGGAAGAAGAAACTGATTACAGATAATACAAAAAAATCAAAGTAATTTTACCCCACATCATTACCTTGATCATGATCGTATAAAAACAAAGAAGGAACATCTGATTTTTACTTGTCACCAATAGTTGATTTTGTACCAGAGACCGTCACAAGACAGGGCGTTCTGCGGAACATGTGATAAAATTCGGAGACACATGTACATACTGTAAAACCTCTCTACAATGAATAACATCGTGTCCATTCAGAAAATGTGGAATAAGGTATAGTCGTTCACTAAGTAGAAGTTTGCATTGATTGAACCAGGACGTAATTGCTATTGGTTATTGACAACTAGTTATTATAAACAACTGATGACGAAACAGTAAATAAAGCGAAATCCACCTAAACTTTGGCAAGTTCATCACTATTCCTTCTAACTACTATAAGTATTTAGCTGTTTGTACGAAAACCATGGATCTGTATGTGCTTGACACGTTTCGAGTTGATACAGTGTTGACTACATGATTCAACGAGAAAATGTAGTTGTAATAAGTGAGAACCAGCTGTAGTACAAGCAATCATTAGATCATCTTCATTGCATGGATGAGCGTAAGTCTTTTTCAAATCATCACGTCTTCATCGTTTTATAATTGCAAATGAATAAGTCCATTATTCTTTTATCTGTAACAAAAGACGGCGCTACCGATAATTCACTGCTCACCATTATTTCTTATCTGATGATATATAACTCATCGAATAATTAATTTAGTACCAATTCAGAATACGCGTTGTTTTTTCTATTCTCCAGACACGCACACATATTTTCTTTTACCTGTTCACTATATAGAGGTTGCACACTAATAAAGTCCCTTCTGCATTTCATAATATTCGATACATATACTTCGCTTATCGTCTTTAAAATGACTACAACATTATTCTTCAATCCAGTTGCGAAGTGTAAGATCTACTGGTGTAGATTCTACATTCGAAGAAAAAGAGATCGATAGTACATTTCTGCATATATTCATATTTCAATTTTCCAAAGAGGCAAAAGTAAAAGATGAATAAGGAATAGTTTTCGTTTATATAAAAGCGATGACCATTTCAATCGAATAAACTGGGTATATCTTATTGCAGATCGTTTCCTCTTTATGTCTTATTGTAGAGACAAAATCAACCGTAATCAATAGAAAACGTGTTCACATAAAAGTAGTGAATGAAACGAAACTTGATATGCTCCAATTGCATCTATCGTACTGTTGCGTACCATCAATTTAATCTTGACAATACCTTGCGCAGAGGCGCAGGAAGGAGAGAGAACATCGGTGCCATCTAATGATCATCTATGCATCATATTATTCAAAACTTGCACTTCTTGTGAAAGAAAAATCTCTTCTTACATTATTCTTTTTCATTTATATATCGAAAAATCTGATAATAACGCGAATATTTGTTATTTCGAACATGTGATGCAAAACCGCGTGATTTTTCCTTTCCTTTCTTGTCATTATTAGACACCAGTTTAGCGTCTCGATCACGGATAAGATTGCACTTTGGAATTACATTTCCTATGGAATATATTTTCATTTACTAGTGATATCAAATGAAAAATACACCGAGAAAATCAATACAAATTCATTGGTCCTGTACATGGAGCGAGATTAAAATACACAAAGTAAAAAAATCATGACATTGCTTGAATAAATACGACTAGTTGTTACGATCGAAAGTGAGTATCACGAGAAAACAAAATGAATATGAGTTGCTAGGCTAGATAGTTGCGAGAAAACAAAGAGAGTTTTGTTGACTTAGAGATCAGCATTTCTTTTAGCTTTTTGTGCTTTTTCACTAGTTTCTTCGGCGGTTTCTTTCGCTTTCTTTGATGCTTGTTTTCTTGATTCTTGAACGTATTCGGTGGCGGAATCAACTGCATCAGCTCCTACAAGACATTTTCGAGAAAAATTCAATGAAAAAGAATTATTATTTGGTTAGACGTACCAGCATGTCGAGCAGCTTTCAAGGCTTCGTTAGCTAAAATAAACATTTTGATGAGGAAAAGATGGGAACAGAGTGAACAAACCTTTATCACGAGTTAATTCAACGGTTTGTTCAGCTAAAATTCCATATAAACAATCGATAATCAACATAGCAGAAAAGTTATTTATTTACGTAATTTTTTAGCTCGTTGAACTCCATCAGCACCATATTCAAGCGCAGCTTCATAGGCATCAGCACCTAAATAGAACAAGAATTGAGAAAAAGCAAACGGACCAGTTGACTTCTTCCCTACCTGATTTCTGAGCTGCTTTGAGTGCTTCATTAGCTGAAAATGAGAAAAAAGAAAATAAATATTTTCTCACTTTGAAAATCTCACCTTTATCTTTTCCAACTTCGAATGCTTGTTCACCTAATTTTTGACCTTGTTTCATACCTTCTTGCGCATATTCTTGACCAGTTTTAGCAGCATCATTCGCAAATTGTTGTGCTAAATGAAATTTCATAGAAAAAATCGAATCCAAACATTTGTCCGATTATTACCGGAAGCTTTGACATCATCAGCTACTTTTCCTAATTTTTCTTTTGCTAGAATACGAAACTTATCAGTAGACATATCAATACATCTTAAATTACTCACCAACATCAGCATATTCACCGGCGAGTTTACTTCCAGCTTCATAGGCTTGTCCAGCTTTATCTTTCACGTATTCAGCACCTTCAGCAACTTTTGGTGACGCAGCATCATATGCTGCACTGGCTGCATCTTTAACCTACAACAATATTTATATGCCATAAAGACTGAAATGAATAGTATTGTACCTTTTCAACAACTTTGTCCTTTAAATCAGCAGCAGCATCAACAGCTTGTTCAGTTGCCGATTTTTTTGCGAATGTTGCCGAGATAAAGAGAGCAATACAAATAAGCGAGAAGAATTTGTTCATGATTAAGTTTTAAAATGAATAAATCTGAATGAAAGAAGCAAACAAATGTAGTAACGCGGTGAAAACACGTCACCAAGTGTCCGAGTAAATTGTATTAAAAAAAGCGTAAAGAAAATAATGTCGCCGTGTTGATCACGTGTTGCCAACTAACTGAATAGATCGTGATGTTTCAGCTCGGTTTATTGAGTGCAATTGAATTGATAAAGGCTAAGTGATGTGCTGAACCAATCATCAATATTTGTCTATAGATGTCGCGTTTCGTAATAAACTGATTTTACTTGGATCGCTTTTAGTATTTTCAAATAAGTCATTTTGCTACCATAATATGTTGTGCTTTTCGAAAATGCTAACCATTTTCACCTATCAAGCCGAAAAACTTCGCCCAACGGTCAGTAAGTTGAACTGTGTGCATTACGAAAATGGAAAACTTGGAAGAACGAAGAAGGGTAAGGATGTGGGTATGAATTCAATTATTAATCCCTAGGCGATGTATCGGATTCGATTGTGCACTAATATTCGTTCACATAAAAATTAAATGAATACATTATCAACTCTGAAAATGTTGTACGCAGGATCATAGCTCTATCATTCAGGAAGTGATCATAAAGCCATAAATTATGTATTGAATTTATTTTGTGAAAATATAAACAATACCGAATAGTAGCATTATCAAAGTATCGCGTCCTTTTGAAATGGGAAGTGATACAATACGATTGAAGGAAGAAAATATAATGACTTCCTCAGTTGAAAAGATTAGAACTGTGCCATAAGTGAAATCACATGGGTATAAATAAGACAGTAGCATCGTCTCTATATTCATTTTCGTCCTGGTCATATTATAGAACAAAAAAACGATGACTAATTCATTGTATATTCTAACAATTACTATCATGCTGCTTCAAATTAGCTACAATCTAAGTTTACCAGTTGAATTTGGTAGTAGAAATAGTCCTTGGTTACAAAATCAGCAGCAAACATTGGGTTGGTCTCGGTAGGTGTACATAAGTTGATGACTTTTATACATTGGGTTTTTATTGTTTTATATATAGGAATTTACCAGAACCCCAGTGGACATTTAGTGGATCATACATAAACAATGATGGTTTTCGTTTCAATCCGGAATATTACGATACTAGTCGCTTTTCCGTAGCTCCTCGTATCGATTATGATTGGGATCGAGGAGTGACAGGAGGTGGTATTCGACTTGGATATCGATTTCGAAGAAGTGCTGATGAACAAAACGAGTTAGCTCAACAAGTAAGTTTATTAAATTAGTGAATGGGCCATCGAGCATGCTTTGTGGACTATGATTGTGCTATAATCATAAATTATTTTTGCATTGTAGAATGTTGATTTAATTTACGATGGAAATGATGGTGATGCACCGGTTGTCAATTGAAAAAATCAAATAGTAATGCGCTTAATCCCGAATCCTTCCACCGTAGCCCGCGATTTCTATTGTACCCTGCATCGAATTATTGCCTGTAGCAGATGATATTCTAACAAAATTTTCTTTAAAATAAAATTTGCAGTGCGTCAATGTTACCACAGAACAACAACAGAGTCAATTTTTTCTTACATTTCTTCGTGCAATTGAAAAACCGTGATAGATTTCTGTGTCTTTTGAATAGAATTTGACTGCATGAATACGATAGTTATTTGATAGTAAGAATAACAGACGATCGTCATCGGCAAGGAAGCTGCTATCACATTCTTGCATAGTTGTTCAATTCATTGCATTGATGTTAGTGTCACTACTTCTCACAACTGTTGCTATAGATTTTCCGATGAATTATGCCAGAACTAATGCTAACAACGGACCTGCTGGTGCTATGTTTTCTGTCGTATATAACACGATGAGTTTATTTGTTCAAATATGTTTCTCTGTCCTCCGACAACATCTGTGATCTATTTTCTGCCAGTGCTATAGGTGATATATTACGTCGTACTCATTCGCACAACCGTACTCCAACAATCAATACTTGACGATCGTAAATTGATCACTTGTAGAGAAAAAGACAATATGGGAAGTATTAGGTTACGAATTGCAGATATTCTGTTAATAGTTCATATTTTCTATGAAAATATTTTCAAGAATTTACTTTGTTATCATTCGATGAACTAAAACCTCTGAATGTAGAATACTCATCTAACTGGAGGCGAGGAGCGTGACGGTATGAGTTTATGCAGGAATACGATCACTTATTCTACCTATTGACAATCTCGATCAGATCTTTTCAACAAAGATTTGGTACATAATGAAAATACTTCCACGTCGTCGTTTTGAATTTATAGACTATGATAATTCATGAATTATTGTAACGAAAGACTGATGGAAAAATACACAAGATTTTCTACATATAAATAGAAAGAGAAGTTGGTTTTTGTATTTTTGAATATAGAACTACTGAAATCGTATCAACGAGATTTGTATTATGTAGTCTATTAAAGACTTTTGAGCTTAAACGCCGTCTATTGATATACGCATAGGAAAGTATAATTCATACATAATATTTATTTGCTTTTACATATAAGCTTGTGCTTATATAATTTCCAGTCATTAATTTGACATTCTTTCGAACAATAACGAGCTCGTTGACATTTGCCACAAAGCTTTGATGCATCCGCTTCGCAACAATATCGACACATATTCACTATCCGTTCAGAGTCACTTTGCATGACAATAGAAGCCACATCATCAACACGAATTGATGGTTTCATGTCGCCAGTTCCTATTCGTAAGTATGGATTGATAATGTGCATTTTACTTCCAATAGTATACAATTTGCGTGTTAAATATTCACCTTGTTCTTTGGGAAAATTATATATGAGCATTCGCTCACAATCGAAATTTTCATCTTCAATTACCAGATGAACTGATGGTTCCCATGAGTATGTTTCATCAATGATGGTGCCTGAAAGTACGTATCCTTTATAAACTCGATCTTTCGTTGGATCTAATTCTCTTAATGTAATTGGTTTTAATCCGATTAATGATTTTGATGTTTGCTGTTTAACTCGAGGTCCAATAGAAGTGGAAGCAACTATTTGACCTAACGTATGTTTTTCGTCCAATGCTTGGCCTTCCCACATACGATGCTTTGTAATAACTTCAACTCTATGAGAATCAGTAAGATGTTGTTTACGATTATTTTCGGAATCTGGTTCTATATTTGAGAAGAATTCACTATCAAACATAGGTTTCAAGTAGTCCAGATTGCCTGATTGATAAGGCAAGAAGCATGGTAATTGTGATTTCTCTGCCTCTTTACCTTTTGCATATAGTTTTCTTACCTGAGGCACCGCAGCTTCAATCGTATCACGTAGTATATAACAGATAGCCGTTTCGTAATATGCATCGGGAATTTTGCGATGATCGTTTGGAGCAATATTGATGAATGTTTGATAAGCGTTGATTGCCTCGTCGTAATCGATATACAGGTGCCGCAACAAAACAGCTTTGTGGTATAAAAGTTCGTAATTGTTTGGCTCGATCTCAAGTCCTTTATTAATATCATACAAACCGACGTGATATCGACGCAAGAATCCATTCAGCGCTCCGCTCATCAAATAGAAACAGACTGATTTCGGATACTTTTCTTTGCACAAAGCAAGAAATTCATTAACTAATTCATATGAATTGAAATTTAGTGCTATGTAGCATATACGGACATCTTCATCGAGCTGTGAGACATCAGAATTTGATTTTTCAGTACACAGACAAAGTGTTCGATTAACTAATTGAAGAACTCTCTGTTGCATTTGACATGGAATTTGCGCGACAATAGTTTCAATACGATAACATTGTGAAAGTTCATGAATAAACGTCTGTTCTTCTTTTTGTGATAAATTATCAAACGATAAGAGTATATTTAGCGCCTGCATGAAATGTTCCAGAGCATTACAAAGGTGTTTAGCGGTTTTGGAACCACGTTTCGCATATTCACATAGCATTTCATAATCTTGCAAGTATGAATGTTCAGAGGTTGTCGAGGCAACATATTCAGTTTTGTACAAACGCCAGAAATAGTCAAATGAACTAGATATCATCAGATCATTCAGTGAAGATTGACTTATAGATCGTTGTTTATCTTCTATTTGTTTTGCGAACTGATCACGATTGTTTTGAGCCTCAAGATTACCTGCTTCACATGCACGATCATGCCAAATCTTTGCCATTTGAAAATTGTTTTTATACAAGAAAAGTCCTGCTAAACTCTCCATACCAACAGGGTCTCCCCTTTTTGCTGCCAACTCGATTAGTTGCATACCTTTGTCAAGATCTCTCTCGACTACATAACCTCTCAAATACATTGTACCTAAATTGTTGGCAGCCATAGCACTTCCGTGGTCAGATGCACGTTGATACCAATACAAAGCTACTCCTGGATCTTTGCGAACACTGATACCTTCGAAGTATCTGACACCTAACGCATGTTCAGATTCGGCTACACCAACATTTGGAAGCTGTGGATAAAGAGGATGTTTTGGTGGTTGAGATGCTGCTTGTTCAAGCAGCTTGAGAGCTATTTGATGGTCTTTCTTCACACCTAAGCCACGATCTCTCAACTTAGCCAAATTGTACATTCCTTCGGCATTACCCTGATCTGCTGCTTTGCCAAAATACTCAGCAGCTTTTTCATAGTTCTGTTGAACACCTATGTCTCCACACTCATATTGATGTCCCTTAAATACGTCCGCTTTTGATGGATCTATTTCCATTAAAAATTCATCATATTTTCGTAACTTTTCTGCATCAAGACCAGATTTTTCTTGTCGTTCCTTCAAAACTTCAGGAATTGACTTTATATTCTGTCTTGGGTCGACATAGTCGTTTCGTGACTGTCTATGTAATGTGATACGACTTTCATCCAATGGTTCCTGAATCTCTTTTCTTGTAGGATCAAGTGCAAATGCTCGTTCAAACGAATTGATTGCTTTTTCATGTTCATCCAAAGCGGCATGAACTTTTCCAACACGAACATGTGCTTTCCACCATGTTGGCCATAGTTTCCTTGCCTGTTTAGCATCTTGCAATGCCAGATATCGTTCATCTTTGGCGTCAAGCGATTCTGATATATTGTAAAACTTTTCCTGTTGTTCATGCAATAATAAACGACTTGCTGCCATATTCGAAAAAAGCATGGCACGATCATGACTCGATACACCTGGTAAAACTGTTGCTTTGGTAAAGAATCCAATGGCTTCAGAATACTTTCCATCTGTATGAGCTTGTACACCCAGAGACTTTAAACGTAATGCTTCATTTCTATTTTCTTCATTTATTGACTCTGTAGACGAGTCAAACACACTATCATCTTTTAGTTTATCTAATTCGACATCAATATCACCGAATTCAATCAGAATAGCTGCTAAATTATTCCACACTTGATTGAATTCTACATTATGAACAGACTTTGCGTTATGAGCTAATTCATTTCGATATTCCCTTATTTTTTGTATGGATTTATCTTCTTGATCAAGTTGTTGTATTTCATTTGTGGTTAATGTTTTTGGGCGTTCAATAAATAACAGCAGAGAAGTTAGAACTGATATATCCCATTGCTCTGAATCTCCGTTAGAAACAGCTGTCTTCTGTACGGGCGTTAAACTAATGCTTTTCTTATTTTTCAGGACGACGTTAGTCAGATAATTGCTTCCAGATGTTGGCGAATCATCCCACACCTGTCCATTGTTGTATAATGAATAACGATTTTTAAATAAATTACGAAGTGAAACACGTGACCGCCCAATTAATAAATCTATTTTAAAATAGTTACGAACTTCAGATGATGTATTGGCCATATTAGAACTACTTGAATAGCAACGCAGTTTTTTCTAATGAAATAACAATGCTTGTTGAATAATTTACAGACGTTGATTTATTTGATGTGATAATCGAAAGTGTTTTCATATATTTCTCTATGTATTGTGGTAAAAAGAATTGTTGATAAAGTTTCACCCACTATGGGCACAGCATATATTTACTTTCTTCTTATTCTTCTGCTTCTCAAAAGAACATAACGAAACAAAAAAAACATTACTACGTTGAGTATCCTAGGCATATATGAAGAGAATTTCTTTTTGTTTTCGTTTCTTTTTACAGATGAAATCTGCAGCAACGGCAAACCGTCAGAAACCCTATGATTCACATCGTCCTTGAAAAGTACCTATATTGTCTATAGCCTTGCATTCGTGAGAGACTCGTTTTTTAACCATCTAATGTGAAACTTGTAACATTTATTGTTAAAGAGTGTGTGGACTTGGGTAACTCGTCTTTGTCCACATTTCACTTTCATGTATAACTTCTCTAATGTTATTGATGTCTTCACTTTATATTAATATTAACTAGTATAAACAATGAAGAGATTTTTGTATAGAAAACATACATGATCATAGACCTTCCACTTCGCAAATAATCCAAGAATCGAAAAGTATGGAAAAGAGGGTGTGAGGTGAAGAATTTTATGATTGGAATCGATAGAGCATATTGAGTTCTACTTGAAACCAGCATGATAAGAGTTGGAACGCATATCTGTACGAATGAATCCTTAAAAAGCTCGAATCAGGCGCTAGGATATCTCACGCCTCGAAGACTTATATATTTGGTAAAAGAACTAAATTTATATTAATAAAAGTATGCAATAAGACACCATGTTAGTTTATCTCAATTACTGTTTTGTTTTATTTTTCTTGTATAAGTCACTAAAATTTGTGTTTTTTGATAACGTGAATGGACACAATCATTTTGAAAAAGAAATGAGTGAGAACAAAAAAGGAACGAAAAAGAATGTCAAATAAAAACGAAAAAGAAGAATAAGTTAAAAGTAGCACCGACAACAACGAAAAAGAAAAGGAAGAAATACTTGCGAATAGATATGCGATTATTAAACAAGTGAAAGAAAGTCAAGGTGAAGTTCATGAGGAATGTCAATTTGATCAAGTGAAACAGTCGATGGAACATACGGATAGACCAGTGGAAATGTGTAGCCTAAATCAAAATTCTCTTGTTGCTCATATTCAATTCGTGTTCGATCAGTTGTTGAACCNAAATAGATACCAAGAACAACTGCATCGGTAATCCGTTCCGTTTCCTGAGGATTACATTTTATCATTCCACTAAAGTGTCTGATGCTTTGACGACGTAGATCAACATTTCCTGGAACATTCGCTGGCCCTGTTGTGGTTGTTAATGACATAGAATTGGAAATATCATTGTGACCATTGAGTTGACCCATTCCGTTCATTGATCCATTTTGAAGAACTTGCTCCCAAGAGACATTTCCCGCAGAAAAGCTCTTATTAACAAGTTTGATAACGCGTCGTAATTTTCGGATCTCGGCGTGATTCGTTTGAATTTGTTGATGAAGTTCCTAAACATTTGCATAGAAATCAGTTGTTGAGCAAATTAACTTACCAGATTTTCGTTAATAACATTGGCGATTTGTTGTTTCATTGCATCGTCCACCGTATTTTCGTCAATTGATTTACATAGCTCTAGATTTTCTGCTTCGACTTGTGCCAAACGTTCGTGTGTTCGTTCGTATTCTCGCTGATATGATGCTCGACATTGTTCCAGTTCAAGTTCCAACATTCTGAATAAAATTCTCTTTTTCAAAGAAAAATGTCTTTTTAAGTCAATTTTACTTATTGATTTGTTTTTGACTTTGATATGCTTGTTCAATGGCGTCACTTGCAATCACATCATCGGATTCATTCTCATGTTGCATAACTCGTTCTTGTAATTTCGATTTCATTTCAATTTGCTCACGACGACGATGTTCTAATTCCGCATTTAATGCATCGAATTGTGCTAAAAAGAAAACAATTAAGCAGATGATTTGAATAAAAAATGAAACTTACCAAGTAATTGTTCTTTCGCTGCTATTTCATCGCCCTTCAAAACTTCTTCTCTCAACGCTTTCAAATCAGTTCTTAATTTATCCATTTCTAATTCATCTAAATGCCACGATGAATTCTTTTTCATTGTGCTTAGTTTCGATGAATTTGTCACTCCTTTATCCAATTCTTCATTCATTGTTTTGTTTTCTTGTTCAAGTTGTCTTAAACGTCGTTGAAGGCGAAGGAGAAGTCCACCACCAGGAGCAGTACCGGCTTCGACAAGTTCATCGAGTGGTTCATTCGTATGCGTTGTTGTTAAATGACGTTGATGAGTATTGATCGTCGACGAAAGAAGAGGAGGAGGACGACGAGGAGTTAAACCATCACTCGTCAACGGTGCTTGATCCTAATACAAAAGTCAATACATTCATTCTCATCATCAATTAATCGATTAACCCACATAACTTAAATTACGACATACATCGCAAAAAAACCACATGATCACTCGAATGTCGTTTTACATGAACAAAGAAAACATTTTTTTATTCCCTCTGGTTCTGATTGCCTGCTAGGAAATATTAATCTTAAATCCCGATGGTTGAAAGTTTCCGAAACGACTAATCTTCTTTTGTTGAAAATGAGAATATTTACCGGTAAATCATCAAGATCAAGTGTGTCCATAAATTTCGAATCCCAAGTCATATTCGAGTCCGATGGTGCTGATTTGACTTTGTGAAGATTTTCATTCTGTAATTCACTTTGTAGATTGTCGCATTTTTGTTCCAATCGATGCATTTCAATCACTAAGCGTTGTCTTTGTTGTCGTTCAGCTGTTAATTCTTCTTCTAATTGTTTCATACGAATGGCGGATGAATCTTGTGTGGACAAATCTCCGCGTAATTGTTCTTCTAATTTTTTAATTTCGTTGTCTTTTTGTTCAACGTCATTTTCTAATTGAGCAATTAGATCGGTGTTTTTAGAAATGATTTCATCTTTTGATTGTTTGGTTTGAAGTAGATCTGCACGTATCGATGCATTTTCGGTTTTTAATCGTTCGTTTTCTAATCGAAGTCTAAGAAGAAACGAATTGTTTTAGGAGGTAAAAAGAAAATTTATCGTCTTACTGTTGAAGTTCTTCTTCAAGAATGGCTTGTTTCTTCAGATTTTGTTTCAATTCTTTATTATTGACTTTTAATTGGTCAAAATCTTTTTTGAAATTTTCTAATTCTTGTTCTTTATTAACCAACCGTTCATTATCTCGTTTTTGTTCGTCAATTTTATGTTGAAGTGAAATAATTTTATTTTCTAAACCTTTATTCAATTGTCGTTGATGTTCGATCGAACGTTGTTCAACTCGAAGTTTTTTGACTTCGAGACAAGCTTCACGTCGACGTTGATGAGATTGTAAAAGAACAATTCCGCGTTGAAATGTGATAAATCTTCTTCGAGCAATCCACATACGTACAGATGATTGAAGAGCCAGAACACTTCGTTCCAACATTCGTTGCTGAAGATTTTTTCGAACTAAATAACCTCGACAATAAGATTGAATGTCAATAAGAACTGTTCGGAGATTTTCAAAACGACGATGAACTAATTGTCGACGCCATAACGATTGAAATAATATTACAGCATGTGTACGACGAATATTTTCTGCATGTTTTTGTGCTAAATACCGTCTCGCTAAACATTGCAATGCCAGAGTCGTACGTCGGATTTTCAAGTAGCGTTTTCGTGCATAATAAGCTCTGTAAGTAGTTTGAATTTTGATGATACAAGCACGAAGTTTTTCGGAACGTAATTTTTCGAGATAAGCAACTTGTCCTGCACGGAAGAAGATCTTTGTATTTCCAAATTGATATTTATCCGGATCGGAAATTAAGTTTTTTAGAATATTTTCACATGTTCGACGATGATTCGTTCGATCGATCAACGCTGAACGTGTTAATAACCGATAACGCACAAAAAAATCGTGATAACTCCAACGTGATGGATAACCAGCAGCGCTGATACGAACCGTTTCCAAAACACCACAAGCACGCAATTGTTGCACTGCACGACGAGGTTCAAATCTGTAAAGAAAAGTTATTAAAAGAATTTCGAAATCCGATGAGCAAACTTGATCAGGTTTTGAAGGACAAACGACTTACGTGAATGAAGCTTTGGCGTCATTGGGTTTGATGCAACGAACGTAATGAGGTTCGGTCGAATTCAATGCTAACATTAAACTTGTTAAAGATTCACGAAACTATTAGAAAAGAAAAAGATTTTGTTTAGTTGAATCTTTCCAAGAATAACAAAAGGATAAGTGTGCTTAGAACACCAAACAAAAGATATGCTTTTCAAGGAATGACAAAGAGAGTAGAAATATCACAAAAACCAACCTGTGAACCAAGTGAATAGCGCTGCAAAGATTATTTCTATTGATAAAAATCTCGTTCCTACAAAAACCGTTATTTACCTGCGATCCAACGGTTTTCTTTCTTTGTGCTTGAACTTTGGAAGCTGCTTGTAATGTTCCGGTTTTCTGTACTTGATACGATTTCACTGATGTCGAACCTTTTACTCCATCATCTTCTTCCAAGAATAATTGAACAACAAACTCCAACTAAAAACATCTTTCTTCGAATAAACACTTCTTTCCAAACGAGAAACTTACTTCACTTTCTTTCAACATTTTCAATTGATCTTCCAAAACTGTGTCTCGATTTTTCTCTAAAAATCCATCGATTGAATATTCCACTTTCTCGGCAAAATGATTGATGATAAATGTCGAATTTGCTGCTAGTTTTTTCGTTAAAAAATCCGGATGTTTGCCATGTTGACTCACTAATTTCCTATGCCAGTTTTCGTCTGAACCTTTGGGCATCTACGAAGAGAAAATCTTTTCTTTCTTTCAAACAAAAATTCTCAAACAAACTTTGCATTCTTCATCTAGCAAGTCTAAAATTCCTAGTTTATTTTCAATCAGATCAATACACGGTTGATTATCATAAAATTGAATAAATGACCAAGTAATTTCTTCTTTCATATATTCTTCTTGTTCAAGTTTAAAAACGTGCTAAAATCAGTAAGGAAATTCATGTTTTTCAACCGAAATAAGTTTTCTTACTTGACAAAACTGCTGTTGTAGTTTTTCATTCGCGTAATTTATACAAAATTGTTCAAAGCTATTGATTTCAAATGTTTCGAAGCTAAACGACAGCAGAAACTTTTGAAGAGAAGCTCCAAACAAAGGCTAAACTTACCCGTAAATGTCTAAAACTCCAATAAAGGACTGTCGTTGTCCCACATATTCTAAAGATTTATTTATTTCATTCACAATCCATCCGAACAACTGCGAATAGATATGTTTCGCCAGCGCATCTCGAGCAAACAGTGCCTTTCAAAAAGAAATTCATGAAAATCNTTAATTCTACATACAATAAAACTCATTCTATAGCAATCAAAACAAAGCAAAAAATAGATACCAAGAACAACTGCATCGGTAATCCGTTCCGTTTCCTGAGGATTACATTTTATCATTCCACTAAAGTGTCTGATGCTTTGACGACGTAGATCAACATTTCCTGGAACATTCGTTGGCCCAGTTGTGGTTGTTAGTAACATAGAATTGGAAATATCATTGTGACCATTGAGTTGACCCATTCCGTTCATTGATCCATTTTGAAGAACTTGCTCCCAGGAGACATTTCCTGCAGAAAAGCTCTTATTGACAAGTTTGATAACGCGTCGTAATTTTCGGATCTCGGCGTGATTCGTTTGAATTTGTTGGTGAAGTTCCTAAACATTTGCATAGAAATCAGCTGTTGAGCAAAGTAACTTACCAGATTTTCGTTAATAACATTGGCGATCTGTTGTTTCATCGCATCATCCACCGTATTTTCGTCAATTGATTTACATAACTCTAGATTTTCTGCTTCGACTTGTGCCAGACGTTCGTGTGTTCGTTCGTATTCTCGCTGATATGATGCTCGACATTGTTCAAGTTCAAGTTCCAACATTCTGAATAAAATTCTCTTTTCCAAAGAAAATTTTCTTTTTAAGTCAATTTTACTTATTGATTTGTTTTTGACTTTGATACGCTTGTTCAATGGCGTCACTTGCAATCACATCGTCGGATTCATTCTCATGTTGCATAACTCGTTCTTGTAATTTCGATTTCATTTCAATTTGCTCACGACGACGATGTTCTAATTCCGCATTTAATGCATCGAATTGTGCTAAAAAGAAAGCAATTAAGCAGAGGATTTGAATAAAAAAATGAAATTTACCAAGTAATTGTTCTTTCGCTGCTATTTCATCGCCTTTCAAAACTTCTTCTCTCAACGCTTTCAAATCAGTTCTTAATTTATCCACTTCTAATTCATCTAAATGCCACGATGAATTCTTTTTCATTGTGCTTAGTTTCGATGAATTTGTCACTCCTTTATCCAATTCTTCATTCATCGTTTTGTTTTCTTGTTCAAGTTGTCTTAAACGCCGTTGAAGGCGAAGGAGAAGACCACCACCAGGAACAGTACCGGCTTCGACAAGTTCATCGAGTGGTTCATTCGTATGTGTTGTTGTTAAATGACGTTGATGAGTATTGATCGTCGACGAAAGAAGAGGAGGAGGACGACGAGGAGTTAAACCATCAGTCGTCAACGGTGCTTGATCCTAATACAAAAGTCAATACATTCATTCTCATCATCAATTAATCGATTAACCCACATAACTTAAATTACGACATACATCACAAAAAAACCACATGATCACTCGAATGTCGTTTTACATGAGCAAAGAAAGCATTTTTTTTATTCCCTCTGGTTCTGATTGCCTGCTAGGAAATATTAATCTTAAATCCCGATGGTTGAAAGTTTCCGAAACGACTAATCTTCTTTTGTTGAAAATGAGAATATTTACCGGTAAATCATCAAGATCAAGTGTGTCCATAAATTTCGAATCCCAAGTCATATTCGAGTCCGACGGTCCTGATTTGACTTTGTGAAGATTTTCATTCTGTAATTCACTTTGTAGATTATCGCACTTTTGTTCCAATCGATGCATTTCAATGACTAAGCGTTGTCTTTGTTGTCGTTCAGCTGTTAATTCTTCTTCTAATTGTTTCATACGAATGGCGGATGAATCTTGTGTGGACAAATCTCCGCGTAATTGTTCTTCTAATTTTTTTATTTCTTTTGTTTTTTGTTCAACGTCGTTTTCTAATTGGGCGATTAGATCGGTGTTTTTAGAAATGATTTCATCTTTTGATTGTTTAGTTTGAAGTAGATCTGCACGTATCGACGCATTTTCGGTTTTTAATCGTTCGTTTTCTAATCGAAGTCTAAGAAGAAACGAATTGTTTTAGGAAGTAAAAAGAAAATCTCTCGTCCTACTGTTGAAGTTCTTCTTCAAGAATGGTTTGTTTCTTCAGATTTTGTTTCAATTCTTTATTATTGACTTTTAATTGGTCAAAATCTTTTTTAAAATTTTCTAATTCTTGTTCTTTATTAACCAGCCGTTCATTGTCTCGTTTTTGCTCGTCAATTTTATGTTGAAGTGAAATAATTTTATTTTCTAAACCTTTATTCAATTGTCGTTGATGTTCGATCGAACGTTGTTCGACTCGAAGTTTTTTTACTTCGAGACAAGCTTCACGTCGACGTTGATGAGATTGTAAAAGAACAATACCGCGTTGAAATGTGATAAATCTTCTTCGAGCAATCCACATACGTACAGATGATTGAAGAGCCAGAACACTTCGTTCCAACATTCGTTGCTGAAGATTTTTTCGAACTAAATAACCTCGACAATATGATTGAATGTCAATAAGAACTGTTCGGAGATTTTCAAAACGACGATGAGCTAATTGTCGACGCCATAACGATTGAAATAATATTACAGCATGTGTACGACGAATATTTTCTGCATGTTTTTGAGCTAAATACCGTCTCGCTAAACATTGTAATGCCAGAGTCGTACGTCGGATTTTCAAGTAGCGTTTTCGTGCATAATAAGCTCGGTAAGTAGTTTGAATTTTGATGATACAAGCACGAAGTTTTTCGGAACGTAATTTTTCGAGATAAGCAACTTGTCCTGCACGAAAGAAAATCTTCGTATTTCCAAATTGATATTTATCCGGATCGGAAATTAAGTTTTTCAGAATATTTTCACATGTTCGACGATGATTCGTTCGATCGATCAACGCTGAACGTGTTAATAACCGATAACGCACAAAAAAATCGTGATAACTCCAACGTGATGGATAACCGGCAGCGCTGATTCGAACCGTTTCCAAAACACCACAAGCACGCAATTGTTGCACTGCACGACGAGGTTCAAATCTGTAAGAAAAAATTATTAGAAGAATTTCGAAATCCGATGGATAAACGACTTACGTGAATGAAGCTTTGGCGTCATTGGGTTTGATGCAACGAACGTAATGAGGTTCGGTCGAATTCAATGCTGACATTAAACTTGTTAAAGATTCACGAAACTATTAGAAAAGAAAAAGATTTTGTTTAGTTGAATTTTTCCAAGAAAAACAAAAGGATAAGTGTGCTTAGAACACCAAACAAAAGATATGCTTTTCAAGGAATGACAAAGAGAGTAGAAATATCACAAAAACCAACCTGTGAACCAAGTGAATAGCGCTGCAAAGATTATTTCTATCGATAAAAATCTCGTTCCTACAAAAACCGTTATTTACCTGCGATCCAACGGTTTTCTTTCTTTGTGCTTGAACTTTGGAAGCTGCTTGTAACGTTCCGGTTTTCTGCACTTGATACGATTTCGCTGATGTCGAACCTTTTACTCCATCATCTTCTTCCAAGAATAATTGAACAACAAACTCCAACTAAAAACATCTTTCTTCGAATAAACACTTCTTCCCAAACGAGAAACTTACTTCACTTTCTTTCAACATTTTCAATTGATCTTCCAAAACTGTGTCTCGATTTTTCTCTAAAAATCCATCGATTGAATATTCCACTTTCTCAGCAAAATGATTGATGATAAACGTCGAATTTGCTGCTAGTTTTTTCGTTAAAAAATCCGGATGTTTGCCATGTTGACTCACTAATTTCCTATGCCAGTTTTCGTCTGATCCTTTGGGCATCTGCGAAGAAAAAATCTTTTCTTTCTTTCAAACAAAAATTCTCAAACAAACTTTGCATTCTTCATCCAACAAGTCTAAAATTCCTAGTTTATTTTCGATCAGATCAATGCACGGTTGATTATCATAAAATTGAATAAATGACCAAGTAATTTCTTCTTTCATATATTCTTCTTGTTCAAGTTTAAAAACGTGCTAAAACCAGTAACGAAATTCATGTTTTTCAACCGAAATAAGTTTTCTTACTTGACAAAACTGCTGTTGTAGCTTTTCATTCGCGTAATTTATACAAAATTGTTCAAAGCTATTGATTTCAAATGTTTCGAAACTAAACGACAGCAGAAACTTTTGAAGAGAAGTTCCAAACAAAGACTAAACTTACCCGTAAATGTCTAAAACTCCAATAAAGGACTGTCGTTGTCCCACATATTCTAAAGATTTATTTATTTCATTCACAATCCATCCGAACAACTGCGAATAGATATGTTTCGCCAGTGCATCTCGAGCAAACAGTGCCTTTCAAAAAGAAATTCATGAAAATCATTCATTCTTCGAACAATCTTTACTTGATTTAGATTTAATGTTGTATTAACNTTCAACTAGAAAGGTTCGTGCGGATGGTGTTAATTCGACGAAGTTGAAGTTCTTGAAAAGAAAGTATCATCATTTCATATGTTCTGACAAGAAATTCAAACATACTTTAAATATGTTCAACATAATCGATTTTGACATTGCATCGTTGACATATTTTGAGATAAATCAATAGTTGAATGCACAGTGAAATAGCAAAGATCAAGTGAAAACAATAAACGAATAAAATTTAAGGAAAATTGTAGAAGATCATTCCGTATTGGTTATGCTTCATTCTGATCGTCTGTGGAAATTGTGTTCATCGTCATCTTCTTCACCGGTGTCATCTTCGACAAGCATTAACCAATCAAAAAATTCCTTTACCGATTGGCATATCTGATTGTAATCATTTGATTCTTCTCCATTCACATTTTGAAACCATTCCAAAAACGCCCTATCGCTTACGCAATCTTCGTCATAGAACAAATCAAATAATGAACGAGCCATTTCTACAAATAGAAGAAAACGACAAATATGCAACATTTCAATTAAACTAATCTGATAGCAACTCACTTGGTGGGTGCTTTAATTTGATAACAAACGTTTGTATACCATTAATAGCTTGAACTTCTTTTTCTTTATCGTGATCAATAACAGATTTTAAAATATGGGCTCTTTGTTGTGCAGCTGATTGGTCTATTATTGGATTATTTGACTCATGAACAGCGATGCACGACTCCAAATATGATAATACAATGTTGTGAATGTAATATTTATCCGATGGATTCATTTTCTAAAAGAAACAAAGCCGTATGTTTTATTTCAGAGTCATTGCTCTGGAATTGAGCGCAAAGTTGAAACATTTTTCTTGATCTGATTCGTATGACTGATTCAAACTACATCTTCAACCATCAAAAAAAAGGAAAACTGATCAAAGTTCAGTGAAATAGTTTGAGGATCAACTCGAGAAGATTATTTTCTGTAGTATACAATTATTTGTGAAAACATAGAAGTAACGCTAAACGAAGCGAGTTTATTAACTATAATCCGAAAGGAAATTATCTTGAAGTTTCGAATGACGATATATCGACCTCTACTAACGCTCTTGACTGTCTCAATTGGTCTAATGAAATCTGTATTGATATCGGCTCATCTGTCTATTTCAATAGTCAACTTGAGTTAGAACACAATGCACATACTTCTTGAATATATCGATGAATGTCTTTCGTCTGTGCAGTCGAATCCACATGTTGTTCAGTAATCGTACGAAATAAATTAATCAAATTAACATCTGCGGAAGCTGAGTTTGTTGCGAAGGAAAATGTTGATGAGTGTGATACAGCAAGAAGTTGTGTAGCCGATGCTAAGGATTGGACTGTTTCATTGTCTTCGGATGTTGTTGGATTCAATAACCAATCATAACTGGATAAAAATGGTTAATCAATCATGGCAGGTTTCAACAAGTCGTCGAATGTTAAGCCAGAAGATTTCCATAAACAAATAACTTTTGATTTTGACTAAAGATAGAAACAAAAGAGATTTCATTACATATGAATTTTCAATCAATGTACAAATTAATCTCTCTCTTATTTTTTGACATAACTTTACTTCTGTATAGAGTACTTACTGAAACATTTCGAGCACTTCTAATGATGCAGCCTATTATTTCTTTGGAATCTTCCGGAGATACTTTCTTCATAAGCTTCTTTAGTATCAGGATGTTTGTTGCTAAAGGTGCTTCGTCGATGACAATGAACATGCCAAGTAGTTCGCCCATATGCTGCCAAACAGGCCCCGAAAAACGATCGAGTATTTCAAATAGGGATGATATTCTAAACAAAAAACAGCTATCAGAGGATGAAGCAAATGAGACGAACGACGTACCCATCAGCAATATGATCAATGCTTAAGATCTGCTCTTTCCGAGCTAAATCTAATAAATGTCCCACAATAACCGCTATTTGTGGTTTCAATTGTAAAACATGCGTTATCAATTCACCGACGAGTATTGTTCGATTGAGAAGAATAACACTTGATAAATCTTCAACAGCTACCTAAACAATCGAAAGGAAATTCAAAAATGTTGCAATAGGATATGCTCATACTAACTTGGAGGCGATCACTGTTGTTTCCATGTGTCGAACTTTCACCATAGTGTTTAACGAATGTATAGATAAATTGGGTTGCTGTCAGTGAACGTACGGATGGTGTTTCAGGTGCGACTGGATTAATTTCTAACCAGTTTTTTATCTTTTCACGATTATATGCATCCAATAAAATATCTAACAAACTGTTGACATATAATCGACAATTATTTACGGCTTCGTCATTCAATCCAAATTCTTGCTGCCCAGGTCGAAGAATCCGGCCCGGAACTGACTAGTTCCAGGACCTTCCGGGGATTTCATGGAAGCAGTATTCCGGCTACCGAATCCTTTCATCGCATTTAAAAGGTTTTATCGGCAACTAGGGAGAACCCGCCATAACCATTAGTCGGATACGGTTACCGGTTCCTTCAGTGGGATTCCGAGTATTTTCTCGTGGTTTCCAGCGCGGATACTATAAATATCCTGCGGGTTTTCACGGGAAATAAGCGGAATACTGCTTCCAGGAACGATCGTCCTGGGTGTTTCGATCTGGCATAGTTGAACGAGCTAAAGCAGTGTAAAGCCAAAATTCGATGGAACGGCCTTTTTTCATTATTAAACTTTAATAATGACCCGTGGATACCCAAGTCGATCATTCCGGCGACTGGATCCGTTGAAATCTGAGTCGGTTCCGGTACAGCTCTTCTCGATTCCAGCAAGTTCCTTGCCACCGGATTCCGGCGGTAAGGAAATGGTCGGAAAACGAACCTAACCGGCCGGAACCGACCGTGTCATAATAACCTGGGCTGGATACTACCAAATGTACGACCACATGCTGATGAGATGGCTCGTGACATAATTTTCTTGTTTATAAAAAAAATTCGTAACTGACCACGTTTTTCAATGATAGTTAAATCTCGTCTGTCGAAAGCCAGTTCAATTTCCTTGACCAGTCGTAAGCTATTTCTGGGATTGCCAATATCCGATGGATTCAAACCAAAGCTTTTTAAACCATTAGGTTGATGTTTCGGGTAGATATGAGCTGTGGCGATTTGGATCGTTTGCTTGTCGGTTAAACCTAATACCATACATCGATTTCATTTGAGATCATAAAAGTTCATCACCGATTCCCTACCCAGGTCGATCATTCCGGCACAGTTTTCGCCGATTCCAGCAAGTTCCGGCAGATTCCTTGCCGCCAGAATTGGACAGGAAATATCCGATCAGTTCCTGACCGTTTCCAGCTCGAAGTTTGCAGGAAACGGCCGGGAAATGACTGGAACCTACGTTTGAACTTCCGGCGGCAAGGAAATGGTCGGAAAACCAACCTAACCAGCCGGAACCGACCGTGCCATAATAACCTGAGTCATTATTTGCCCGAACAAGATTTAAATAAACTAAATCTAGAAAGAACACGAATCATGCCTTCTAAGAACGATCAAATGAATCATAAAAAGTTTCAGGAAAATATTTTTGAGGTGCAAATAACAACAATTACATAACAAGATGATAATGAAAGAAAAGAATTGCCGTAGTATGTTTACGAAAGTCAGCACGCATGTAACTAATCTTCTTCGTAGCAGAGAGTAATGGGAAATGGAAGCCATATCATATGATAAAAAGAACGATTGATTTTGTCGTTTTCATGTCATCATAAAGATTTATTACGACTCTCCAATTCACATGCAGATGCATTTGACCACACCAATAATTTGCTGTTTGTTTCATAATTGATACAGCATCGGTAGTACTTTCATTGATATAAGCCACTGTTTAAAATCCTCTTGATGTTTAATCTAGTCTTAAGGGTTGCAATAATGATAATGGATTTTGCGCATAAATTGATTTTTAATCATTTAATTTGTGTCCTTTCTCAGAAAAAGATTTCGGCACAGACGTGTTCTTTTTCATGTACCAACGATTGCTCTCCGCTCTGGTTTGATGGGCACCGTCTACACTAAACAAAAAAAAACGTTTATCTCATTGTTTTTATTGAAGTAACTAACAAAACAATGAGAACCAAGTAAATGGTGGAACTAGTATTGTTGCGCCATCAATACGATTTTCACTTGGAGCAGTCACTACAAAATGAAACTCATGCTGACCTCGCTCTATGACAAAAGTTAGATGAACCTTTAACAACTTCTCATCAAATCGACCAGAATAACCAACACTTAGAACAGAAAAACTCCATGAAAGTATTACTTATCTAAAAAAATCCTACTTTCACAGGTAGACTTGGTGCTAACACTTTCCGTTCACTTTGCGTTTCCTCGGATAAATTATCAATACTTCGTACTCGTAGGATCACATACAACTGAGTCAACAAAGTCTTACTTCAGAAAAGAAATTTGCTTCTCTAATCCTTTACCTTGGTTCCATCGTTCAGCAAACACGTACATTCTAGGATAAAAAGAAATCTTTGTTTATTAAATAAATCCCTACAATCAAACTTTTAAACAGCTTGTCTTATTGCATTATCCTCCATCCACTATCGATGCTATCAAATCATGCGATATCAACAAAACCTAGTACAGTGTTCATTATGTATTCCACAGAATATACAAATTTCGCGACGAAAATGTACAATACCGAATGCATACACTCAAACCATCACTTTCTTTTCTCTTTGGAGAAAAAAAGGGAAACCTTAAGCATTAGATTAATCTATCTTTCACCGAATGCTCAGAGATGGAAATAAGCTATCAACACCACCACGACAACAACATAAATCAGCACACTATTGTCAAACATACCTTTGTATACAATTCTCGAACAGACATTCTTCACTCCACGACTTTAAGCACAATCCGATTGACAAATCAGTACCATCAAACACGAATGGATATTCTAATCTAGAAAAGAATTTACTATTTTTTCTTCCTGAATACAAAATCCTATTCATATAAACACTATCTGACAATTGTTTATTCGAAGAATATATCACACACATCTGGAGAGATGCACAGTTAGTCTATCGCTTTCGCTTTCTGTTCATTCCACCATTGAGAACATTCGTTAGATCAGTTGTCATTCCTTGAATTTTCGGTGGTAACATTTGTTTGGTTTCATTGTTCACCAGTCGATCATAGTCTCGAAATGCTGCTTGTCCCAACATCAGCAAGATCTTCTCTTGTCTTTCGAATTTTCCAGTTTGTTGTTTCATACTTTCGTGATGATGATGATCACTCAACAAGATCAAATGAAAAGAAGCATCCATGATCGAACGAAAGCGTTGTTGATATGTTTGTAACAATGTCATCGCAACTTGTCGTTTCTCATCAAAGTTCAGCTCGAGTAAATGACGTCCTTGTCGATAGAAATGAGATGCTTGCTTGGCTAGATCAACGACCGATGCATCAGCTGCAAAAATCTGCCGTTGAATTCGTGAATAGATCAACGGAAGTTCAGGTAACGATGCGAATCGTGTTTTGCAATTGCAGATCGAATAGATCATCCAGTAGGGAAGTTCGAGTTTGGTGTTGGCTGTCAATGATGAGAAGTTCTGTTCATCAGCATGATCTTTTTTCTCATCGTTCAACGTTGCTGTTGCTGATGAAGATTCGAGAAAGCCCAATTTTGGAATATCGACGAGTAGTTGACAGCGAATCCGTTCTTGCGTTGACAGAATATCGTCGATGGAAAAGTAATCTTCGTACATCTAAAACACAGTAACAAAACAAGTTTTATTCATCGGACAACTGATTGATGGCAATCTGACAACGACGATGAACTAAATCGGAGAAGTTGGACTTTTTCAAGATGAAATGAGAGAGAAACAATCGAAAGGCTTCTTTAACAAATTTATAATTTTGTGTTGATGAAAACTGAAAAATGTTCTTCAACGATGCATCGTCGGTGTTTTCGAAGAGTTTGACAAACAATTCAACTAGAAAGGTTCGTGCGGATGGTGTTAATTCGACGAAGTTGAAGTTCTTGAAAAGAAAGTATCATCATTTCATATGTTCTGACAAGAAATTCAAACATACTTTAAATATGTTCAACGTAATCGATTTTGATACTAATAATTGTGATAATGCTGTGCCAAAGTTTGCTAACTGTTGATCACTCAGTAATGAAAGGTCTTTAAATCGATCCCATGTATGATATTGCAAGGAAATCTAAAGAATTCCATTAAGAAAAAAGTACGCAAAACGTAATGTTTACTTGAAATCGACGATCATACGCGCAAAATCGTTGGAGAATTAATGTATAATATGGATTATACGTTTTTTCATGTAAACAACAATGAACCGTCACCTGAATTGAAAGTGAAAATTCATGAAATACTTCTGAAAGCAAAAAATTCTACTTACATGAATGATTTCTCGTTCTTGTACTTTATTCAAATTCAGTTTATGAAGTTTTTCGACAGCATCATCACAATCCTATGAAAATGAAAAAAAATCTCAACATCATGTTCTTTAGTATTCTCACTGGAGCAAAAATCTCTTCTCTAGTTTCATAGGAATAGAATCAAGGACAAATTCCACACACTCGCTTTTAATAGAAAAAGAAGTAAATCCCGAATACTTATTTCTCTCTGTGGATGTATAATCACAAGGAAAAAAACAAAAAAGACCGTTGTTTCCTTTCCCTATTTCATATTTCTACTTATTATCTACTTTGTGTTTATTTGATCATTAGTTTATGTGTTCTCCTTCCTTTATCAATATAACAAGCGCATTAGTTTTTAACGCTTATTCACTCTCTTTCCATCTTCCGTTTCACATATCGAGTATTCTGTCAGCATGACAAACTAACTCATATTTTCTTTTTCAAAACTACCACGCCCAATAACATATTGTTTTCTAAATGACGTATATCGAATGTTTGTGAAGTGCACAATCATCGATGAATCATATTTTCTCTTGTTGTAATAAAGATTGTCGGTTTACCTCACTGGTTAATAAAGTTCCAAAGATGAATCGTCTAATATCGGTGTTCATATGTTGTTGTTTAGCTAGTTTACGAATTTTCTCGTTAAACAATTCTTCTCCTTTATTCTTCTTCCTCTTTTCATTGTCTGGAATATTTTGTTTTTGCCACGCTGAACCGACAATCCACCATCGTCCTTGTTCTTTTGCATTTAGAAAATCCTCCAAACCAACATTTAACATATTTGCTTGTTGTACAGTTTTATCTTTGACTAAATTTCGATAAACTTTTCTTAATCGATCAATTCGATCAGGTTCGAAACCACCGGGTAGTTTTCTCACATCGTTGTTTTTCAAACTTTTTATCGTATCCATCATAAATTCTAATCGTTTCGATGATGAGGAAATCAACGTTGACGACGAACACTTCGTTCGTAATTCTTGAAGAAAATTTTTCAATTGTAATGGATCATCCTTACGTAAAACGAATCCAGTTGTTTTTAATAGAAGAAGAATTAATTCTAAACGTTTTTCATTGATTTGTTCAACATTTAATAAATACCGAGCAAGATCAAAGAGAATTTTTCCATTTGTCATGTAAAATGCGTAAGTATATGAAAAGAATCGGATTAAATTATCAGTGATTTTAATTGATACATCATCATTGATATGTTCGATGAAAAGTTGGACGAAATTTTCGAGTAAATACGATCCGATTTCTAAACCAACATTTGCATGAAGAAGACAGGCAAATAACGCATATTCAGCAAGGAAATTTTCACCAGTCAGGGACTGAGATGATACGAGACTGTCGTGATATAATTGATATAAAGATGTATTCATCGATGCACGAGATTGAGAACGATAAAGTGTTTCGATTTCAATTAAAATTGAAGATAAATTCTTTTCACTTAAACGATTTAATTGACCTTGAAGACGACGTTTTAATTCTATCAATGAATTCTCTTCAGATGAATTTAATTTTTGACGCAGAGCAGGAGGAATATACGTTGAACCTAAAATATATTCCAAAAGAAAATTATTCACTGAATTTATAATGAAATTTCAAGTACCACAATGATTATATACAAAAAATGACGAGAGGAGAATCAATAATGTTTACTATTGCGGAAAGAATTCAATGTGTGGTTCTATTCTCAAATTTAATGCATTCTTATATCTGCGTTTTGACTTACTTGAATTACTTTTAACAACATTGCCCTTCGCATCAACTGTTCGTCCATAAATATCTTCTTTTAAGGTGAATGTCTCCTCCTCCTTATTGGAATCATCATCATCATCTTCTTCTTCTTCATCGAAACCATTATCTTGTCCTTCGTCGTCAGAATCTTCTTCTTCTTCTTCTTCATCGTAGTCCATTGAATCTTCATCATCAATCATTTCTCTTTGAACATCTTCGTTAAACTTGACTAATGATGTTTTTTTCTTCTTAGTTTTCTCTTCTAATTTTTCTTTTTCATTGGCCAATTTCACTCTTTCTTTTTGTTTTTTCGCCAACCATTGTTGATCTTCATCTTCTTCATCATACCACGCGTTTCCTTCTCCATCTCCTGCAAATCGAATAATAAAAAACGATTATTTTAATGAAAACGACTTACCTTCAGTTTGCATAATTTCCTTTCTTTTATCTCTATCACAGAAGTCCAGAAGGAAATCGAGTCCATCATCGATAAAACCACGTAAATAAGTTTTCCGATCGGATTTAATTCCTAGAAGTTTTTCTAATTTTTTTATATTTCCATCTTCAACTTCGTTATCTTCGATTAAATTTCTTCGATGATGCTCTTTCGCTGCCTAAATAAAGTCATAAACAAAAGACTTCAAATGAATTGTCGATTTCACCTCTTCANATCAATGATAGGATAGTTTTAATATCAAATGATACGTTGTGATTAAGAATAATACAATAATTCTGCAAATTAGATAAGAACTATTGAGCAATTTGACATATGTTAATAACAAAAATCATTTCTGCCAGTTTCTAAACGAGAACATCGAATGCGATTTGCTGTACCTTAAGAAATTAGCGCCCTCTGTCATTGTCGTCAGTGTATATTATCAATGTGAAATCCAAGTAGGAGACAAAAAAGAAATAATCATCAAAACGAAGTTTGATTAAATACTTGGCTTTTTCTTTTGAGGTATTCGTAGATAGTACTATGATAGGAGTATTATGCAAAACATATTTTGTGAAGTAAAAATTACTACATCAGTGTTCAGTATTTCTTGTTTTGGGAATATAGACATCTGCGTGCATCATTTTATTTGCAGTTGGGGATGAATACGTACCGTTCATTTGATTTATTTTGTCGTTTAGCAAAGCAAATTTGACAAGAAAAAGGCAACTGTGTGATATTAATAAGACTGAAAGATGGTGTGAACTTCATTTGAAACTTCGTTTTTTTTCTCATAAAACAAATCCAATCTTAGCCGATGCAGATCAATTTCGATTTTATTACGACGACGAAGAAGAAAAGCGTCCAGGGAAAGAAAATGACGACCTATATATGTATTAAACATACGTGTATGCGTAATAGTCGCCGGTACATCGATCACGCACCTAGACAGAAAACAGAAAGACAAAAAGAAGACATAAGAAGATAGTCACGAACAAATGCTGTATGTGCTAGTGTTGGTATGACGAACTTCTCGCATAATCATGACGAAACCTTATAAATCCAAGACCACAAGGGTCACAAAGATCACTACTATATCTATACTATACATTATTGAAATCGTCAACAAAAAATGTTGATTATATGATTTGATATGCAATCTTTTACAAAATAATTCAGATTTAAAATAAATGATTTTGTTACAAAATCATCTTCCCCATTATATGATTCTAGACTCATTCATCGCAGATTTCAAATTCGACATGTAAATCGTAAAAGTTGTTCTGTACTTTGCCTCAAGGATAGAGCTGACCATTGTATGATGGAATGGTGGCATAATTCAAATCTACGAGTACAGCATAAGTGTTTTTTTCGGCTATACTGCAAACGCGTTTATACTAAAAAAGAAGTCACATGGGAAAGATTTGCTCCAAATAACATTGCCATTTGAAGAGGAAACATATTTGCGAATGTTCATGTCCAACAGCAATAGATAAACAAATTGCTAAAAATATTCCGACAACTTTTGAATTAATGTCACGTGTACATGTACATAAACAATATGCACCAATACTACCTGAAAACAATTCATATTACTCAGCATTACCTTTTATTCCGGTACATTTTATTGAATATGAACGAGATGAATCAGATTTCAGAAGACAATTGTAAATGAGTATGATGAAATGAGCAGTTTTTCTGCTCATACATCGGCCTTTACAAATGTGACGCGATGACGTTTTGTCCACAATCTTTTTTATATTCCTCAAAAGATAGAGCATTGAGAGTTTCGGTTCTTTTATCAAATGATGCTTCTCTGGGCCCTTTGACTATCCCTGAAAACTTCAGTTCATTTGGCTTAGTTGTTCGAAAACTATGGTAATTATACAGCGCGAAACGCGATGATGGAATTGAGACAACAAATTGAGGGTGATCTGTTCACTGTTCATTTTTCTGCAAAAGATTAATTTATTGAGAGAAATGTTTCAGAGACATTTGGTAGTCGACAGTTTGTACTATCCAAAGAAAAGAGAAAAAAATTCAAATTCACGTACAGTTTGTATTAGAGACCTGTTTTATCAATGTAACGCGGTGATGCTCTCGCAGCACGATGACGTTTTCATACCTTCTTACACAGATTTCTCCATCAAAGTAAGTTCCAATCACAAAACCAAGTTCATATTCAATATCAGCCTCCAAAGCTACATCAACTCCGTAGAGTTATAGGGCAAAATATAAAACTCGAGCTTTTGGTCAATTTTTGACCAACAATTATGCTGAAATTTCGAAAAAACTTAATTCTCATATTCTCCAATATAATACAATGAATTCGACGTGGTTTCTTTAGCTGATCTCGAATCTGGACTTCATTTTATGATATGAACATTCTTTTGTCAAGAAAATCGCGGAATACCTATATGAGAAATGAAGAATAGACGTAAAGGTGTCATCGTGTTACATAAAGCCACCATAAGAAGAATTTTTTTCGGACAAAAGCACATGAATTAGATAGCACATGAAAATCTAACTTTAGGTATCCTGTTTTTATCATACGTTGTTAGCGCCAACGGGTTGGAAAAAAAAAGATATCCATTTTTTCGTTACACGATGACGTTATAAATTTCACAGCTTTGGCTAAGCTCGCTATCAAAAAGTATAGCACATAGAAAAGTTGTTCTCCTACTAAAAGCTACTCCTGGTATCATAGACTTAATTAGTCTTTATCAGTCCTGTATATATCAAACTGGTGGAATACACGAGTGGATGGTTACAAGGCTTAAAATAGAAGAATTTTCACTGTCTTCCATTGACATCTTTGTTACCAATAATCGTATCTTATTTAAAGCATTTGTTTATAGAACAAAATATGATTTCATACACATTCGACTATGCTCTGTAGGATGACGAACGCCAAATTTCAAAGTGACGATTTTGAACTCCTGGTCATTGAGTTGTCACGTTACATGGAAAGGCCGACATGTCATCTTTATTTATCGAAATGATAACAATTAAAAAAGTATCAAATTCAGCTGATGTGTTGAAATTAATATATCTTCTTGTATGTTTATGAATTGTTTCGATGAACATTTTTCTCTCTTATGATCATCACAATCCCAGTTCACCGCAAATTTGAAACAAGCGTGATCGTAATTTGGAATTGAATACAGATAACTTTTCCTTTACTACATTGATCCTATCAATGGGACATTTATCAGTAACGAAGAGGAATGAAAAGTCTCAACTTACTTTTGTTCATCCATGAAATCATTGTAGTTGATAGCAAATATTCTTGAATCCGTATCTGTACTAGACTATATATATTACAAAAAAAGAAGATTTATAATGATACAAATCAAATAGACTTACTTCAAATACGACTTTGATCATTCCGTCTTCAAAAAAAGCGCTGTATTGATATCAACACCTTTGTAGATGTAATTTATTTTGACGACATTCTTTATGTCACGAAAAAATCAGTAGTGTCAAACTCGAAACTTGAATTCAAGTATTCAACTTTCTCTTCGAGTATTCAATTATTGGAGTGACCCAGCATTCGATTTTTGGGTACGAGCGCTCAGAAGGCCTTTGGCCCTCTTCGCTACCGATCTGTTTAGCCGAGCGCTCAGAAGGCCTTTGGCCCTCTTCGCTACCGATCTGTTTAGCCGAGCGCTCAGAAGGCCTCCGGCCGCCTTCGCTATCTACTTCCTCCATCTACGGGATCACCTCTCCTGTTGCTCAATTACACACACTCTAAAAAAAATTAGTGCTTTGCTGAACCCTCAAAAAAAGTTCCGTGGTTACGAAAAAGTCTTCAGACAGGTTCACGATTACAAAAACGCAATAAAAATTTCTAGGGAACCATTAAAGGATCTTCCCGTGTATCGGAGGGAAGAACCTTCTACTGCTAAACCTTGTTTTAAGTTCAGCATACCAAAAGCAGGTTCCGTAGCAAAATGCAAAACTTAAGGGGTTTCATATCAAACTATACAAGGACATTCAGGTTCGGTACGAAACTATTATATTTTCCTAAAGAACTCTGAAAGTTTGGTATTATGCTACGGAACCTGTTTTCGGTATGCTGAACTTAAAAAAAGGTTTAGCAGTAGAAGGTTCTTCCCTCCGATACACGGGAAGATCCTTTAATGGTTCCCTAGAAATTTTTATTGCGTTTTTGTAATCGTGAACCTGTCTGAAGACTTTTTCGTAACCACGGAACTTTTTTTGAGGGTTCAGCAAAGCACTAATTTTTTTTAGAGTGCAGCATGCAGCCAGGCAGCGCGTGGCATAGTGTTCGGCGAGAAAGTAGATCTCAACTTTGCTTGAGTCACAGGACATGGCGTCGAACACGTGCCGACGTCAGCTATTACAAGTAGTAAAGGCACAGCGACCAGAGAAGCGTTTTTCTCCACACATACATATAGACGAAGAACACAGCGAAATGCAGCATCCCTATCCATCGGACATTAGGGTTTCTGTCACAAAACCTTCTTGTATTCTATTTAACACTAACCCAACTTTTCATGCAAATGAGTCAGAGAGCTCCGCTAAATATTTTTACCTACGCTTTCTGGCAAATACCATCTAACTTACCCCTATGTACACCATACCTACTCAACACCCTCCCCCACACCCTCACTCAGATTATACCCCCTATCACCCTCCCCATCCAACATCCACACCCCCAAGAATACTCGAATTCAAGTTTCGAGTTATACATGTATGCTGAATTCACGAACAGAATCGTTCAATGTTAGCGATTCTATTCGTTAACTCTTTTTTATTTTTTCAGTCTGGGTGGGCTATAATCACATCCGACCATAGAAAAAAGCGATCATTGTTTTCATTGACGACTAAGGTCATATACAAACAATTGATATGCACACAATATAAATGATCTCAATTCAGAATAAATCAATAGTGGTGAGTATAGTAATGACACATTCAATGGCTCATTTGAACAATTTACCTGATGAAATTCTCGCGATCATTTTCAAAAATTTGTCTAATGATGAAGTACTTTTTTCTTTGATAAATGTTAATAAAAGGCTCAATACATTTGTACATGATTCAACTTTTACAAGTCGTTTAAAATTGATGAGACGTTCCTTCGATAATTCTATTCAATCATTATCTATTACAATACTTGATCGTTTCATTTCACAAATTTTACCATCGATTCATCATAAAATCCAATGGCTCGACATTGAATCATCAAGTATAGAACGTGTTCTTTCTCGAAATTATCCTAATCTTTATGGCCGGACTTGGCTTATTTAATCTTGAAAAAGAAAAAGCGAAACATTTGTTTACTAGTATGAGATTTTAGTTGGATTCTCATTATTCCGTATTTGTATATTTAGATGAAACTAATCTGACAGATTTATTTCGAAATCAAATTACATCACTTACTATTCATATTCGTAGAATTAAGAAAGAACCTACAACAACAAAGGAAATCACGATTATATTTACAGACATCTTTACTATGTTTACCAATCTGAAGTATTTAAACTTCAAGCCATTTTCAAATTTTACTCAATACTTATCATTTGAGACTTTATCTCCCATTATTAATTGTCCAACTATCGTCGAATTACATGTTAATGTGAAATCTTTCTTCGATTGTCTTTATCTACTTGACGGACGTTTACCTCAACTTCGAGTATTTCATGTTGATATTTCTTGGTTTGGTCATTCTCAACATGAAATAGTCAATAACATGGTAGGTCATTGTTATTTATATCTTATTGATTTGAATAGAATTATTCTTCTAGGAAAACTTACCTAATTTAGAATGTTTTTCATTAAATTGTAATCAAGATTCAAGTGCATATGATGAATTAGTTATTCCATTGTTGCATCGAATGTTAAATTTAAAAAGACTTCATTTATATCTTGTAATTAATTATAAAAATATGTTTATTGATGGAGATAATTTGAAAACAAATATTCTTAATCGAATGGTACAACTAAATCAATTTACATTTAGCATTCGATCAAGTCTTTGGCTTACGAATCAAACCAAGTTCATATCCAATGAAGATATTCAACATACATTCGAATATTTTTCAACCAATCAAATTATTTCTTATGTTGATTATTTTCACAAGTTGGGACGAGGCGAATGTCATATTTATTCTTATCCTTATAAAGAAAACGAATATCATAGAATAACGAATAATTTTCCAGGTGGAATATTCAAATACGTTCGTGAAATATCCTTATTTGATGAACGGCCTTTTGAACATGAGTTTTTCTTTCAAATTTCTCAATCGTTTCCATTGATAGAAAAATTAACTGTGAATAATGAAAAAGTACAAAACAATAAAAGTGACAATTTATCAATTATTGAATATCCACGTCTTTCTTATCTTGATCTTCTTGAAGTTCATGAAGATTACGTCAAGCAGTTTCTTATAGATACAAACAGCTGTTTACCAAACAATGTTGCTCTTATTGTCGATTATGAAATACTGAAGAAAGCAACAGAAAATTTCACACGGCAAACAACTCGAAATTGTTCAAAACTATGTCGTTTAGCTATACTTTGTGAATATGAAGTTACTGACGATCTTAGTCAATACTTTCCCCAGGCAAAAATCACATATAGTTATGAATATTTTAAATAAAACATGTTTAATAGCAGATCAGATGGCATTGCTTACAAAGGATTTTTGAGATGTATTTTTTCATCTTCGTGCTAACTGTACTCAATTTTTCAGTATTCTACTAAAATCGATTTCTCATCAAGTCGTTTCCGACAAAATGTAAAAGAACGACTGTTCGGAGAACAATGGATGAATACAATCCTTCTAAATACTAAGATCCGATGACTTGATTTTTAAAATCTTCTTGTATTCCAGTCTTCTTTATGTTGTCGCGCGAGAAAATCTCTTTGAATAATCCTGAGTGATGAGTTTTCACATGTTTGACAACTAAGTGGCAATTTCATCGCAATCGATAATATCGAGTCGCATATCCATACCGAATGTGTCATGAAGATCAGTAGTGAAGCAGTGGATGATTCTCAGACATCTTCTGTAAAAACCATCTATTCGTTGCTTAGCAGTACAAGACAGTTGGGGGTTGAAAATATTTCTGTCCTTCTTGTTGAAATGGCATACGCGTGAGCTATGACATACGTAACAAAATTTAAAATATGTACTTTTTTTGTTTCAAAACAAACTAAAGTTTAAGGATAGAGCTGTTTGTTGTCCAAATTTCGAATTCATCACAAATATACGGAATATTCTCTACTCTTCATCAAATTATGTTATTCACTCAAAGTCTATTACTCCGTAATAATCTTATATTAATTATCGGCATTGTGTTTATCTGAGCGATAAAAATACTCAAACGAGTAATTGTTAAGCTATAAAAAAAAGTCCTATTCGAGTAAGTTTTTCATATGAAATATGTGACAAATTATTCATTAGGTAGTAATATTAATTTAACAGTTTAGCAATAAGAAGTAGAAGGACTCCCGTTTTTATTTCTGCTGCTGGACACAAGAAAACTGATGGCAATGAGCAGATAATATACTATTGTACAAACAACGCTTTTCTTACTGTCGATGATCTGCATCTTTTCCTTTTTGATCCGATTTCCACGTTTTTTTGCTTTTGGTGAAGATTTGGTATATTTCAGTCGGATAGACAAGTGCGCGTTGCTGTTCTTTATTCTTTGGATGAGGGTGAAAAAATCGATTATAAAGAGAGAATTCCGTCTTATCGATCACTATTCAATGTATCTCTTTCTCTAAGTGAACAAAGTTTATATATACACATCAACAGAATAGAAATTTTCAAAGATGATAAGGAAAAAACTCAGTGATAAAAGGGTTTGAGCGAGTCAATACCCTAAGATGCGAAAAAGGGCGAAAAGAAGATATATCTAAACACACCTAGATATACGATATGAAGTATACACCATTCTAATTAATTTATATACCAATGAATCTTCTTTATTCATCCGCCCAAAAGGCATCGGTTCCAATGTGCGAGAACGAGCTGATTGCCTTAAAAGAATTCGAGCTCAGAAGTGTTCGAATCAATAAAAGAACGTAATAAATATATTCTAAAGTCAATTGACGTTGACATGTATATTTTCATCGCAATATATCTCACTTTGCCATTAATGTTGTATTACAGAAATATATGTTTTGAAAGATCTTCTTAATGTGATTAAAGAAAATAATAAAAGAACAGGTTATTTCGTCTCTCATTCTGATTAACGATCAACCGACATTAGCTCATTTTCTTCCTATATATAGATTGTCTGTGAAATACTTCTACACCAGCATTTGATTTGATCAGTAAAACAAAACGAGTATGTTTTTGTTAGACACTCGACTTTAATTCTTGTGCTCCTAAATTGTTTCTTTGAAAACAATTTTCGTTTTGATCTTCAGTGTGAGGATGATTGTAATGGTATTCGAAATACTTTTGAAATCTCGTACGTTTGATCCAACAGAGTGATCAAGCAAACCATGTAATTTCTTTGATTTGCTATCGCTAACCTTGATGGTAAAAAATATACTGTTGATATCTAATTTCCATCAAGCTCATCTATTGAAAATAATAGCAATGAATGAATGAATGCGAAATGATTTTATTATGACATTTACATAGTTCAGAACGATTACAAAAGAACGTTAACTATCGTAAAATGCTTATCGAGTAACATGTAGTTGAGCAATATCTCATTACCATCGGATTCATCAACTTCTCAATGTGAACCACCATATCCTGGATAGCCACCGTACGGATTAGCAGCGAACGCAACTGGTGCACCATAGGGTGTCGGCATGCGTGCACCGTAAGGCATAGCTCCAGGTATACCATATGGACTAGGCATAGGCGCACCATATGGCATGCCTCCGGCTCCAACATATGGCCCAGGCATAGGAACACCGAACGGAGATCCAGCAGGTACGCTATACGGACCAGGCATGGGTGCACCGTATGGACCTGGTCTTGGTGCACCATATAGAGCACCAGTGGGTGGACCATACGAACCAGGTCCATATGGACCACCGAATCCTTGAGGTGCACCGTATGGCATATTTCCTGGTCCGCCATAAGGACCAGGAGCATGTTCTACTGGTTCAACTGGTTTTGTTTCTTGACTGCCATATACTCCTGGTCCGTTATGATGTGCATGACTATTGCTATGTCCAGCATGCTTCGCATGATCACCGTGTGAACCAGCAGAGCCGCTTGATCCATGACTACCATGCGATCCAGCTATATATAAAAGAATAGAACAGAATACAAGTTGATTTTTTCATTTGTTGACGCCATTTTGCGTGAAAATTAAGTAATAACCTCTCTAGTAGATTACCTGAATGTTGGTGCTGATGACTGTGTTGTCCATGACCATGTCCATGACCATGACCATGACCGTGCCCATGTTGTCCATGGCTGTGTTGTGGTTGTTGACTAGACATTTTTTTAGACGTTCTAGTGTTTCAATATGTCTGTCCCGATAATCGATTTGCTGATTGACGATCGACGTGTATTTAAATGTTGTTACTTAAACGAATTATTCACATTCACAATAACATGGGAACAAATACATTCTTCTTTTCTAATCGAGCATGGAACGAAAATTTAACAACACTGATTGCTCCGTCTTTCTGTATCCTGATTCTTTTTCTCCGATTGGCAGTGAAACTCAATGTTTTCTTTAGTTTTAAATTATTGCGACGTACTTTGCATCTCATTTGTTCACATTGGCATCGAAATCAGCAGTATTTGTCTACTTTCAAGATTATTTTTGCAACATGTTTTACTCTCTAGAAGAAAACATGACAACGTCAAAATACGTTCGTTCACATGATAAAAATTTTTATTCTTTCAAAGAAAAATACTTTTAACGACAAACATGTCAAACAAAAACTGTTTCAACCACGAAAAGAACAGTCTGTTTACGCAAATAGATCTAGAAAAACGAAGACACGCAGTACACTCCTATGTTAAATATTTTATTTTATTCTGAATGATTTGTGTTTTGCCACCAATGCAATTTTGGAAGATCTTGTGGCTCACCATCGATCATTCGAATCATTATTGCACAACAGATGATATTCTCCTGAATACATTCTTGTGAAGCTTGATTCAATGGTAGAATCCATTCGAGTTGATCATTCGAAAAGTTTTCATCGATTTGTTTCGTTTTTGCACTTGGTTGAAGTAAGATTTCCGATGTTGGTTTGTTGAAGACATCCGGATTCACTCGACATTGAAAAACTAATTGATAATATTGATTTGCCATGTTTCTCCACATATGAGTGTATTTCGGATGAGCACAATATTCGATACTTGGTGAAAAATGAATATTTTGTCGATTTCGTGAAATATTCGATCGTTGAGTTGACACACGCATTGCGGTCGTTAAGATAAATGGAGCATAGAAACCTCGACAACCATGGTAAACAATCGGCCATTTCGTTTCGACCTGAGAATTGGAGTGAACTGATTGAATAGAAAAACGTTTCCAACCTAAATGATCGAATAGAGTTGCGTTTTTCGAAGAAAAAGAAAGCGTGTAAACAACCTTCCGGACAAAGAGAATCGTTATCACTCAGAGCAATCAGGTCAAGCAAAATATTTTCAACAGATTTATTTATAAATGGTGCGTCCGATTTGTAATTGATGAGACGTTTTTCAATAGATAAACAATATTGCCCAAAGCTAATGGACTGTACTTGACAATCCAATCTCTGGGTAGAGTTTTCAACAGCTTGAACAATCCTTAATGATTCTCTGGAATTGTTCAATTGTTGACTAATCATTTGATGATAAGTTGGATGAATAGCGATGTAAAGAATAGTACTTCCTTGTTCGACACGTTCGATTGTGAATGTTTCATCAGGTAAATTGAGGAATTGAGAAAGATTTAAACAAAATTGTTGTTGAATTGAATGTTTGTTTAGAGTCCATCTTGTGTAATTATCTTCGAGGCGAATAATCAATGAATTATCTAGAAGAATTATTGAAAATTATGAAAGGAAAATTTTTGAATTTTACTTTCTGCTTCATTGTTTCTGTCCATTAGAATTGGCAAAACGCGATTTTGATGAAATATTTTTCTAAATTTTTTATTCAATTGAAATTCATTTGTTGTATTTACACATAATTGACCAAGAGCATTGATTAATTCAAAAATTCTTCTTTGTTGTTCAGCCAGTTGTTCTTCGAACTCTTCTTCTATTCGGCGGATTAAATATTCTTCTCGATTAAATCTCCTTACACATCGATTTTCCACGTACGACTGAACAAACTGCAAAGAAGTTGTTGAATCAGTCATTCGATAAAGTGAATCCAGAATTTGTTTGCTCAAGATCGAATCTTCATCCATTTGATGGATAAATTGACTAATAAGTTTGTAACGTGCGTTCCAAAGACTCACACATTCGTTGATTGTTTGCATAAGAAAAGTTTGAGCAGAGAAAACGCTTAAATCTCCTAATTCATTAAATTTTCCGACCATTCGATTGAGCTCATTAGCATATCCGTAATGTTGTCTCAGCCATTGAACAATTCGATTGCGATGGTCGTGATAGTTGTTGGAATCGATGATGTTAAATAAATGAGTTAATTCACTGTCGATTTGTGCGATTTGTTGACGAATTTTTGTGATTGCAGCACGTATTTCTTCGCTATCTTCTCGATTTTCGTTTCGTGTCGATGATACTTGAACGATAGTTTCGACGTCATTACGAATAAGTTGAAGCGCATGAAAGAATTCTTCTTCGATTATCTGACGTGTTTTGTTGATTTTCGAGTTATTTTCGTCAAGATCTTGAGAAAATTGTTTGGCCAACAACGTTTCTTGTTGATGTTTAAGATCATTGTCATGCTGCGAAGTTTCCGCATCGTATGTTCGTTTCCTTTCAAGATTTCGTTCGATTTGAGTAAGTTTTTTCAGACTATCCGATAATTGATCATCTGCAAAGCGTTTTAGACAAAAATCTAAATTTCCATCCATGAATAACAGAACAATTCTCCGCGAAAGACGGTTATTTGCACAACGACAGAGTTTGAAGAAGTGTCTGTTAAATGAAGTAATTCACTCGTATCTGTCGGGGGTGTTTTTGTTTTATCTTTATATGAAAGAATGTAAAAAATGTTTGGATTTAAGTAAATAAATATGCTTTATAGGTAACGCAAAAAAATTAGGACACTAATTTATTAAGTCAAAATGATATGCGCCGTTTTTGTTCGTTCGATGGATTAATTTGAAGAAAACTTCGTTTGTTTCAAAAGAAGATGTTGAAAAACAATGTAGTCTCGTTTGCTGAGTTATAAAACATCATAAACCACGTCAAAGATTGTTAAGATATAAATCATATGTAACGATAACGATGATGGTTGTTTTGAATGTTTGATACTCACGATGCAATTTGAAGTGTATTTCTTTTAGTTGGAAAAAGAAATTGTGGGAAAATTCTTCGAAAATTTCTTTCCCAGCAGATCATTATCATAAATTCTTGTCGAAATTCATCGAATGTAATGAGAAAAAGTGGAAACGACAAAATATGATAAGTAAAAAGCATTGCGTCCAATGCGAGAAGGACATTTTCATCGATTGAATTAACGAAAAATGCAAAACCGATCGTTGCCGGAATTGTCATTATCATAAAAAGAAACGTCGTTATTATTGATGTGATCGACACAGTTCGATGATGAATACGTGAATTCTGAAGTGTAGTTTGTTGTCGTATACGAATCAATCGATAAATCACTCCACTATTCAAAGTAATCATTAAAACAAACGGAACGCAATTATACATAACTAAATTCACCCAATCCCATATCGGAGTGATTTGATATGATCTAGCGTTGACATTAATCAATCCATCTACTTCGTAATAACATGCCAATACTGGAAGATGAATATTAAGTAAAACAAAAAAACTGATAACACACGAAATCATAATCAGAGCATTTCTCGATCGGCTGAACCAAGTTCGATGTAGACGAGTTAATGATACATATCGATCAAGGGATATTAAAACTCTTAACCAAGCTGATGTTTGAGGAGTGAAGTAATTAAGAAACCAAGCGAATTTACATGAAGCAGTTGTGACTGTGTAAAGAGTGAAACCGTAGATTGGTTTGGTATAATGATCGAAATTCCATCCGAATAACATAAAAACGTCAATGATAACAAATGTTCGTATGTAGATCAAGGCCGGTCGTTCTTTTAGATTAAGAAATTTTGGACGACAAAGAATAAAAAATGTTAAAACATTTAAAAGAGTACCGATGAACATTAAACTTAGAGAATAGTACGCAATTAGAAGTGAAGATATATTTGCTTTCGTGCTATTTGTCATGATGACTTGAAGCAACTAGCAAATGTTGAAAGATTTCTAAAAAAAACCATGTGGGCGAGAAACAACCTGATTAATTATTACGAGAAGGAAAGTCGTGCTGTAATCAGATCGGGAATCTACCGAATTAATAGATTAATCAGTGCTCTTTTCCAAGAAGGGAATGCTTTGTCGTTGAAATGTGTATTCTTTCTTCCTATTGAATTACAATTTACTTCTCTTATAGGTAAATATATCGTATGAACGTAATCCAAGGACATAGGGACAAGAAGAATTTTACTAGTAAATTATCAACAGATATTCCAATAGTACTCCATGTACGTAACAAAAATCTGCTGTTTTTTCTCATAATGCTTATGAAAAACATACAACGATTCATTGAACTATGATCGATTTTGTTCTCATTCAATGTAATCTTACTATTTAAAGTTATGACATGTGGTTCATCGTTTGGTTATCTTTTTCAAGGATGACGTGTTACCATGATGAAACAACACGTATGACTAGTTCCACGACTTTTAAACCCTTTCCAATACCTTTGCGGACAGAAATTCTTTCCGTTCGTACTCTTATCATTATTGACATCCGTATAAATATGGAGAACACAGCGGTAGAAGCAATTTTCGTTCTTTTTTTCTTTGCTTTCTATTGTCAATACACACCATGTGGTCTATTCTATTGACGTCTGCCATATTATTGTACTTCATATACCGTTTACTGAAATTTTGGATTTTCGATCCCAAACGAATCCATGATGATTTAGCATCCCAGGGTATTCCAGGTCAATATATTCCAATTTTTGGAGAAATTCTTAGTATTCGTCGTGCTGCGGAAAGAGGCGACCCACTTTCTCATTTACGATTATTACGAGAAAAATACGGTCCATATTATCGGTCTTCATTCGGTCCAATTGCTCGTTTATCAACGAGTGATCCCGGATTAATCCAAGGTATATTGAAAAGCAATGCGCGTTGTTATCACAAATCAAACCTGATGCAAATGATCTTGGGCACATTGCTAGGCCACGATAGTCTTTTAATGGCAGAAGATAATGTTCACAGTCAACATCGCCGTTTGATCGCGCCTGTTTTTCAACATCAAAATATCAATTCAATGATTTCGTTAATGATCGAAAAAACATCGAACTATATCGAAAAATGGCAGAATAATCTACGAGAAACTGCTCCGAAAGATTTTGTAGTGGACATGCACGCTGAAATGGCACGCTTAACATTGGATATTGTCACGGGATGTGTATTCGGTGATGGATTAATGGGAAATAATCACGCACGAAAGATCATCTATGACAATGTCACAACAACACTAGCAGATGTTGAAAAACGAATACATAACATGATTGCGATCATACCGATTGTTAATCGCTTACCTTTACCAAGTAAACAGCGGATTGATAAGTCGAAACGCGATGTTCGAATTGTTATTCAACAAATTATTGATGACAGAAAACAAGGTTTAACCAAATCTTCTTGTAAAGGTTGAAGTTCCACATTTTCTTATCGAAATATGCGAATTATTGTTTCATTTAGGACCTGATCTTCTTGATTTGATCTTAGCAGCACGTGATGACGATAAAATAAGTAAATTTACCGACAAAGAAATCTACGAAGAAACTCTCACCTTCAGTAAATCATTCACATTTGAAGAAAACTTTCGATCAAAATATCTTTAGTCATTGCTGGCCATGAGACAACATCGAATCTGATGGTTTGGACATTTTACAACTTAGCGAACAATCCCGATGTGTATCAACGATTAGAAAGTGAAATCGATTCAGTATTGGATGAAAATGAAGAGATCTCGATTTCTACACTTTCACTGTTGACGTACACAGAAGCTGTTTTGAAAGAATCTCTTCGATTACATCAACCTGTGCCGACACTTGTTCGAAAAGTAGTAGAAGATAACACATTGACTGCCAGTGATGGAAAGCAAATTCATATCAAGAAGGGTACCGATATTCTTATCGATATATACGGTCTTCATCAGTAAGAATAGAAAGGCGGAGATTTCATTTTCATATCTGTCGCTTTCTGTAAAAAGCTCGGAATTGTATTGGTCGGAGCCAATGAAATTCGATCCATCAAGATTCACTGGACGTCATGCGGATACACTTCTACCGTTTTCTGCTGGGCCTCGTTCATGTATTGGCCAAAATTTCGCCATGTTAGAAGCAAAAGTAATGTTGGCGATGCTCGTAAAACATTTTCATTTCGAACTCGTACCGGGACAAAAGCACGTTCCGGAAATTGTAATTACAATGAGGTAAATTCATCATTTGACTCATTAGTAAATGATTCATTGATTTTTATAGGCCGAAATATGGTATGTGGACAAAATTATCATTACGATGATAACGATCAACTATAAACATTGAATTTTCTATGCCAAAGTTTTTGAAACGTGTTAACTAATAAATCTTTTTCATTGAAACGCTTGAAGGCAGGGTGGGCGTTCGCATTGACTTCGAGCGATATCTAGTGAATATAGATGTGGATAGTTCAACCGATGAAGAAAGACATTTGAGAAAACGAACGAAACATTTCGCGTTTTACATTGTGGAGGAAATATGAGCAAATCTTCATCAGATGAAACTCCTGACTTGTCACTCGAAGAAGAAACATTAGATTCTTATTCATTAGTTTTCGATAAAGTCAAACAGAACTTCTCCACCAGTTCAGAAGTTTCATTCGCGAAACATATTTTGTCGCCGATTGATCAGAACCAAACGATCATCAAAGAAACAGCACCAAAATTCAATCCATTTCTCTTATTATTCGTACAAGATGACGAAGTCTTAAATTCAGTAAGGCTGACATTCTTCCAAACGAGATCAATCTTATCTTTACTAATTCAGAATGAAATCAATCATATTCCATCATTGAATATCAAATCAAACGGTAAACACACAAAACACATTCGCTCATGATTGGATTGCTATTTCGTTTTTCAGAACACGTGAGTATTGGACAAGGTCTATTAGTCGAAGAATCAATAGCTGTTTTTGATCAAGATCAAATAAAAAGGTAAAGCAGAAATGACGTCCTAAGCATTTCTCTTCCGCGAATAATTTTGTATTTTTTTCCTTTCTGTCGATCGATTGGACATCATCTGTACTTGCTTTTCTCGTTGTAAATTGCTTCGCTATGCCCTCGCGCTCCCATTCGCATGATATAATTTCCCTTCTCTTTTTTCTTCTCGTCATTTTTCTCTCTCGGTTTGTCGTCGTTGTACATCCATTCATATAGACGCGAACATTTATATATATATATATATACGCGCAGACACAAACATTCAAAACATTCATACTAACTGTATGTGTGTGAACTCGCCTCGTCAGTATATCTTGTGATTATTTCTTCTTATCGTCGAACGAGAATATTTCTTTCGTATGAGAATGATTATTTGAATTTGAAGAAATGTTGAAACATATTGGTCATTCCCAACACGCTAAGCTTCATACATTCGAAGATTTTTATCGCGATAGTTCGAAACCTATTAAAACACGTTTGCCAACAAATGAGTCAACATCAACAAATAATTGTTCTCCAACATCTCCATGTTCACCCAACAGCAATTCATATACATTTTACAATATTTTCTCAGATTTCAAGACAACAATGACACCGGATGTCGTACCTGAAGAAGATGAAGAAACAGAAGAAGAAGAAAATAAAAGCTCTCCTCCACCATCAACTCCTCCATCAGCTGTTTTCTATCTCGAAGATGATCATCCCCATCATTCTCAACCCTCCTCCTCATCGTCTCCACATTGGCCATCGTTAATTCTCAATCGTTTTCGTCATGCCAATCATCATCATGGAATAATCAAGCAAAATTCAGTTAACGAAAATCAAATGAGCGTAACCAAATTACGCAAAACAGATTCAATCGATTCTTCATTTCCTAAGCATCGTTTTCTCAAACGTTCACAAACTATCAATCATACGGATAGTTTAGCCGATAAAAAATGCACAAACGATGATTTCCCTGAACTGTCTTTACCAACGCAGAACAATATCGTGAAAAAACATCGCTCATTTGTTTCTATGTTGCATCTCTTTCACCATCAACATCAAACATCAGCATCGAAAAAACACCCCGATCGATCGAATTCAACTGGAACGCTTGATATAGAAAAAGTGGCTGTTAATTCCAATGATTTTTCACAATCAAAAGTCGTTAAACAAAAAACTCTCCTATCAACAAGTTTTGACGAACACAATTCTCCAGTGAAAAAGTCGCCTTCGACACCAATTTTACCCAAGTTAGCCTCGTTCTTTCACCGCCATCATCTCTCTGAACAACATAAATATCGCGTGGGAAATCTGAAAGCACGTCTTCATCATCGACGAAATTCTCCTCCATTGACAAATACAGCACCGAAATTTCAATGTCAAATATCCAATGAATTGATAGAAGAAATCAAGAAATTAGAAGATGAACAATGCATCGATCAAGATTACATGCAGTATCCACGTCCTGCGAAACCGGTGGTTATGAAACGTGTTCATACATGGCATAATTCATTTGACTTACGACCAGTCGATCAGTGCCTTGAATATTAATTTTCTTTTCTCTTTTTTTTGTGCCTTTCTCGTGCATGTGTTTAAATTTAATAATATAAAAATACGAATCTTTTCTCTATGTAGAAACTCGTTAAAATCTCAACGAACGATTCGCAAAAGTGACGAGGAAAATGATGAAGCGTTTGAGAAATGTAACTGATCTGGTTTTTTTTTTCAAGGAATTGCTTGGATTTTGATTTGATTATTGAATAGTTTTACAAGAACATCGAACATCGAAGAAGGAAGAAAAATCACCGGTTGCAGAGAAACGAAGAAAACGAAATAGGTGTTGTTTGATTACAAGATTTTCTATAGGCTTATTGACAAATTTGTTTTTAGTTTGAAAAATTTTATTTGTGATTCATCATCTTCATCGGAAGAAGAAGAAGAAGATCCAACTGGGTTTTATCGGAAAGTAAATCGAATCATCGACAAAGATTTATCATGGAGACAGTGAGATTCATTATAAAAGGATTAATATCATTCAAAGATTTGTCTTTTGTTAGAGAGGATGATTACGAAACTTCAGACGGATCATCAGCTTCTTCATCCTCTTCCTCCTCCTCCTCCTACGACGACGAAGAAGATGATGAAGAAGAAAATGAAATTCGATCACGAAAAACCAAGAAAATTGCGGTAACTTTTCTTGAATCACTTTCAAATTATGTTCCATTTGAAGACAAACATACCGATGCGAAACAGTACGTTCTGCTCTCTCTTTTCCTACAAAGATTTGTTTTCTCTTCTGTAGATATTTTACTAAAACAGGTTTTAAAAACAAAAACAAACGTCAAGAATTAGCTGATAAATTGTTTTCCATGTTCGACCGAGATGTTTTCTCGTCCAAAGTAAAGAAAAAGCAACTCTTCTATCAAAACTCAATCCAACAAATCCGATTTAGTTGTCAGAGAACGTAACGACTGTCTGGAGTGGTCGTTTGACAGCAACAGCTGGTCACTGTACAACTCGACGCACATCTCAAACAGCGATTATTACACTTTCAAACAAAGTTTGTGATTCGCCTGGTATGTTAATCAAGTGGAAAATTCTCTCGTAATGATTTTATTTAGAACGTTGTCGCGATACACTTTTGCATGAAATGTGCCATGCAGCAGTTTCTCTCATCGATGGGAAAATGAACGAAGGGCACGGACCGTTATGGCGAAAATGGACTCGCAAAGCTGAACAACATTATCCTTATTTACCAGCGATATCAGTGAAACATACATACGATATCGCTTATAAGTTTGTCTATCGATGTACCAAATGCCAATATGAGTGAGAAAATTGAAAATGGAACAATCGTTTTGATGGATGTCTTTCTTTCTTCAGAGTTCAACGTCATTCGAAATCACTTGATATCGAAATGGATTTTTGTGGAAAATGTATGGGAAAATTTGAATTATTGGTCAATAATACAAAGACGAACGAAGTGCAAACACCAAAGAAAACTTTAACTCGATATAATTTGTTTATTAAAGAACATTTTCAAACAATGAAACAAGCACAGCCACATTTATCTACCCCACAATTAATGAAACATCTAAGTCAAGAATATAAAAAATCTTTACAACAACAACCTGAAATTGATTTACCAGACTTTGAAAAATTGAAAATCTAATTTGTCTCTTAGAATGTAATAATTCTTCTTATGAAATTCAATAAAAGATCAAATTCAAACTCATACGATAGATGTCAGATGTCGAAGAAAAAGACAACGCATATAAAAAGTCTCATTGTCTTGACAACATGTGCAAGAATGTCTTTTGTTTTCTTTTCAATATCGATTGCACATTCTCGATTGTTTTTGTTTTTCAACATGTCTTTAGCAAGGAACAGACAGAGTCCACCGCCTGAGCAATTATGGAAATCTTGGGATCGGAAAGCGCGCAAACAAGGCCTCCATGCAACGGTCTATTCAGCTGATGGATCACAATATAAAGGAGATTGGCAGAAAGATAAAAGACACGGTGAGATTAGCGAGAAACGCCGAGAAATTCGTACTAAGTTTTCATTTCGCATAGAATAGGTAAAGGTGTTTATGTGTGGAAATCAACAGGAGACTTTTACGAGGGAGATTTTGCTAACGGAACGCGAACTGGTTTTGGAACACTAACTGTTAAAGATGCGAATGGAAAATTTCAACGACAATATGCAGGTGGATGGAAAAATGATAAGAAACATGTAAGACAAATTTGTCCAACAGAGAACTTTCAGATCGATCTGATGTGAGTAGGGCTATGGAAATCTATTCTTTTCGGACAATGAACATTATGAAGGTGAATTCTATGCTGATAAACGAAATGGTTGGGGAAGAATGTTTTATGCTGATGGATCAACTTATGAAGGACAATGGCTTAATGATAAGCGACACGGAACTGGAATGTTACGTTTACGTAATACGAACAATGAGATACGAGGAGAAAATTTTGATTGATTTCTGTTTTTTAGCGAATGATAATCGTTATGAAGGCGAATGGCGTGACAATAAGAAACATGGACAAGGTAAATTCTTTTATGTTACTCGTGGACAACTTATGGAAGGTTTATGGGTTGATGATATCTGTAAAGCAAGTGAAATGAAAGACTTTGGACGCGATCAAGCCATTATACCAACTCCGTATCCGATTCCTGATGTAAGAATCTTGTTTTTTTCTTGAATTTATCCATTCGTATATTTTAGTTATCATTGGCTAATCCAGATGAAGTTTTGACTGAAGCAAAAGAATCATTTACAGAGACAGATGGATAAAGAATCTATACATATTTGATTGTATTTTGTATTTTCCGAGACTTTTATATATTAAAGAGAGTCATTTATTTTATTGATTAAGTCTTCTCACAGCGAATAAATGAGAGGGTATTCGTTTCAAATGTCATTACAAAGAGAACTGTCCAATTCTCTTGTGCATTGTAGCTTTGTCATGGTATTTTACAAACAATCTTGAATAATAATTGATGTTTTGTTTAAATGATCGATTGGAACTTTTAGTTCTTTGTAGAATGAATCATGTAATATAAGACAAACAAATAAACGATGAAAAGAATTACTTCAAACAGGCAAAGATTTTCATCATATTTCTTTGCATTGCAAACATTGTATGGACGTTTTATGACGAGAGGAAAACTCGGGCTTCGTGAGTTACCGGATGGTATTGTATATTCTTGAAGAATGGGCAAATCATCAACCTCGATATTCTTTATTTCTTTGATGTGACAATCGAATCGAGATAAATATTGAAGCCGAGAGAGAATTCGTTCCGCTAAGGTTGTAAATGTCTGTCGTACTGTTGTTTGCAAGTATAAATGTTGAACATCAGGTGTGTGAATCAGAATTGTCTCAATTTCATCGAACGTTAATTCAACTTCATCATTCCATAATGTTTATCGTCAAAATGAATGATCGATCAATGAAGGTGAACATGTGTTATCCATACTGTCATTCAGAATGTGTATTTTTAGATGGCAAAGATTTGGATAAACAGCAAGAATAATTGGAACAACGATTACTTGAATTGAACGAATGGAAACAAAGCGAAGACAAGGCGATTGACGTCATTTGTACAGCGTTCAACTATTGATACAACCGAGATCGACATGACGAAGTGATGGAAATGCGCCGGAAAACACATCATGCGCTAAGTATTGCGGTGTAGTAAATTTTGATTTATATAGAAATGACAAATGTGTTAGACGATGAACTACTTTTGGATCATTTTGTGAAATATACTGTGAATTCTTATCACATAGAACCAATTGCCGGAGATTTGTAAATTCTTTGAGATCAATTACTAATCGATTTACAGAAGACATAAAAGGTTTTACTGACATCCAATCTATAGTTTTATCGAAAACTAAAGATAAATTTCGACTGGACTGTAAAAGATCGTTGAATCGTGAGTTGAGTCTTGCGAAAGCCCGATATAAATCAGGAGTTTGAATAAATGTGAACAGATGGAACACTAACTCATTTGGTCAATGTTCGAATGTCGTATGTGATTCACTTAGAAGATATTTTCAACAAATTCGAACATTTCATATCCAGCTGTCGCTTACATTGATGACATTCCAGAGAACCTTTTTCACGCATTAAAATAGAGAAATCAATTGGTCTATGTTTTGCATACTCGAGACGATCGTTTGCGAGATAAATAATCGGCCGTTGCTGTGAAATTAATGTTTTTTTCCTATGAACACATTGAAACAAACCTCACATTATTTTTTAGTTCTTCACAGTCTTCGTAATGACCTATGAAGAGAATCTTTCCCTTTCGGTATTGTTCATCTATTTCCATGAAAGAAACATCATTCACCTGAGTGTATTCAGGTGATTTACAAATTGATGATTGATATACAATGGGGACGTTATTATCGTCTTCCAATCGAATGACACAATAAAGTTGTTGATCAAAATGAATCGTTGGTATATCTTTGTCAGAATCAGATACTACAAATAATGGAATGCTATGCGATTATTTCACTAAGCACTCTTACTCGTCGTAGCATAAACTGGGTACCAACTGTTGAACAGTCGGAAGGTCGTTGTGTAAAGCTTCACTATTTGATTTGTAGCGCTTGTAGGTAGCTGGATTACAAACAAGTAATTGAACTGAATGATTTTCATCGAGACAAAATCGGCGTTTAAATTCGTCTGGTGCGTCGTTTTCAGTAATGATTTCATTCAAAGAAACGATACGATCGTAATCTTTGAGACAAGCACGATACACTAAACTGGACAGTGATCTGTCGGTTAATCGTAAATAATGAACTCGTCGTTGTTTATGATATGCAAGTGTGATACCTAATCGTTGTTTTGGAATTGCGCGTTGCATTGTACATAATCGGATGTCATCGTTTTCATACATAAGATCAGAATTTTTATCATAACTGACCTCATCTAAAGTAGAAATCAGCATACATAAAACACATCTCGACTCCGAGTGATTCTCAAATGTTTGAAGTCTTCGAGGCATTTATTTACTGTAATAATCATTTAGCTATATCTCAAACATTTTTTATGGATTTTATCCAAATCTGCTGCTGCTTCTGTGACCGTTCCATCACAATCATAATATTCAATTACCCGACCGAATCTGTTAGTATCAGTATTCTCATCGATTAAACAAGATCTTATATTATTGCATTTGCTCACTGGTACCATAACGTAGTATCGAAATGATTCTCCATTGTCACACCCGCGAAGTAAATACACGCAATCGTCAATGTGTTGTTCTGCAATAAATCTCAGCCTGTCAGCATAGCATTCAAATTGTCTCTGAAAAGCACAACTTAAAATGATCTTTCTAATTAGAACAGAATACCTGTAGATTTTTGTACTGAGTGATCATCGAATGAAAATACGTTTTGCTTGTCTAAAATATTTCTCGTATTGAATAGTTAAATGATCTACCAAAAGCATCTTTATTTAAACACGAAATTGCCTATATTTTGTTCCGAGTTACTAACATCGCTTTATCTTTTATTCATTCTGTTGATAACGTCAACAAAGAGTGAAACATTTGTTACAATTGTGCAATTTTCCTTTTCTCATTGCATTTCTACCATCAATTGTTGATAAAGTATCTGCCAGTGATCCAAATTCGTACTTCAGTAGAAATTCTAAAAATAGATGACACTTGTCAGAAGAAAACAAGATATTTCTGCTGTAAATAACCCCGCACAATTCATCTCTGTTCTTGACAAATCTTGTCCTCCTTCTATTCTATGTGCGTTGGCCAACTCGATTAATTATCTCAGATAACAGATCTCCATATATTAGTCGAAGTGTTTCTTCTGTATGTCTCTCATATCATTTGTATTCTTTTTTCAATAACTTCTATTGATCTCGTGGAAAATGCGTCCAGCTTATGCAGGTCCAGCTTCATCTTCGTCACGTTGGCGTGCGACACAGGATCCAGGTAAAACCTCAGCTACATCAAATGCTGCGGGTTATCGTTCAGTTGGTCTTGATGTCAATCCTGCGTCATTAACAGCATCGAATCTTCCACAAGAACAACAACCGGAAAATGAAGAGAAAAAACAATAAATTCTTTTTTTGTAAGACGAATTTCTCATAGAATTTTATTTATCTCAGCTAATAAAATCGAATTTGAATTCTTATTTATCTTCTCTGACAGAATTAAGACTCAACGAACTCTGTATTTTCTCTTCCGCCTCGTTTGTTGTCTTATCTTCCGATTTAGAAGATGACAGATGCAACCATAACCTTGACCTTATTTAAGTTTTACTCAATCATATTCTGTTCATTTACAATCAATAACCAAATGAAATCGTCTGTGTTAAGATTTATGCCAACTAGTTGAATTTGTTGTTAATTTTTCCGTATGTTTATTATGATGTACAATGGGCCAATTGTGCATCCAAGGTCCTGAAATGGTTGTATCGAATGGATCATCTTGTTGAAGTTCTTTTATTTGTTCTTTGATCGAATCATGAACAGCAGCTTCTTGTAATTTAGTTCGATTGATTTTGGACCATTGTTCCCAATCCGGTTTGAAGTTTTCATCGTTTTTCTTCGCCATTAAAATATTTTCTTTCAAACCATAGAATCCATTTGGTTCATCAGGTTTTTGCCTTTGACAAATTCATTCAAAAACTTAATCTTCTGGGAGAAAAAAAAACTTTCATCTTACCAGCGTAAATCCAAACTCCATCGTATTTTCTCACTGAAATTTTCCGTCGATCGATGTGGAACTAAATTATTTAGAAATAAAACTGAACCCAACGGAACTTCGCATGTGACAACTGTTTGATCATTTATTGGAATTTGTAAAGTTTTCATCATTTCTTCCTCAGGTAATTCGATGTACCATGTACCACCGGCACAACAATTATGTTGACAAGTTTTACCCGGACGATGACCACCACGTAAAACTTGCAAACAACCTTAAAAAGAAAACAATGCTGTCGATTATACCTGAATTCATTTGATGGAAACCGTTTTCTCTATTCGCGTCTAACAGTGGAATCCATGCAGTCACTTGAAGGACATTCCAACATTCTTTATCCAAATCTAGATGAATTTCATCGAATGACAAAGATTAATAGGCGACGATCAATTACACGCAGTGTCTTGATGCCAAGGAACCGTGGCTTGTTCTTGATTTGGAACCTAATGCAGAGGAAAATGATCTGGAAATTGACGAGATTGTAGAAATTTCTTCACTTTTGTTCGTAAATTCCAAACGGGATGTCCAGCAATGTCCGGACCGAGTAATTGTTTCGCAACATCAAGTAGCGCATCGCTCGCCCATAATGATGCAACTTCGGGAGGCAAAACACCACGTTTGTGCAGAAGAACAGAAGCATTTGGAAATTGAGCATCGATCGCAGTTAGCCGTTGGTAAAAACCGACATTTTCATATAAATTTTCAATTTTACCCTAAAAGTCCCAGAAAAATGCCAAATTGATCAATAAGATTTCCTACTGCTCTGTACAAATCTTGAGCTAATTCATCAACAGCTCGTTCTATCCCGTGAATGACTGATTTCAATTGATCTCGTTTTAACAAATCATGTTTGATAACAAAGCCATCTTCGAAAAGTTGTTTAAACTCATTTTCCGTTAGTGGACCTGGTTCGTAATCGCGTTCCCATGCTGCAATCTCTTTCGACAACGGTGGATAACACGAACGATCCATATAAAACGCTTTTCAATTTACCACAATTTCAAATCTCACTGTTACTTTCGATACAAGACAAAGATATTTATATCTACAAGATAAGAAAGAAAAAGTCTTTTGTTTGACCTATTTATCTTTAACTGTTTTTGGATGTTGTTTAATATTTTTCATGTATAACAAAACGAATGTAATCGGGTAAAAGGGCGAACATTTATTTTTTTTAACTTTAAAATGAATGTATTACAAGTACTATTTATGAGAAAAGAACAGAAAATGTATATGAAGTTTCACATATACATGTACACTGATGATAGGACGGATATATGCGACCTATCAGCACGTGTATCGACAGAATAATGATTGGAAGTTAAATTGTTCATATTATTTGAATTACTATTTAAACAATCATTGAATAAACCATCGTCACCACGAGCTGTATTATCAATTGTGGATCGATTCGGTGAGAGATAAACTGGATCATAATTACTATTTAATATTGATGTCATATTTGTTATACTTGGTAAGTAAATACGATAAAAATATGAAGGAACATTTTGTATATATGGCCAAGGAAGATTCATTAAACATCCACCAATTCGACGATTTAGATTACGAATTTGAGAAACTAAAAAGATTATGTCGTAAAATTCAATTGGAATTTCTCCGGGAACATTCGATCGACGTGCTAAAATAAATAAACAACTCTTTTTTTATCAAAGAATTGATCGTGTGTTTACCTTGAGCGTATTCCGAGAAAGCTTGAACACATTCGTATTGACATTGTGGCCAGAATTTTGTCTCTTCGTTCATCACATTGATGTCTAAATTGAAAGCAATTATTATTTTCTTGACAAAGAACAATTTTGTCTGACTTGTTCGAGTGATGATCATCAGTAGAAGAAGAGCAAATTCTTTTTCATCCAAATGTAAATCACGAATTTTTGTTTCGAATGATCGAAATGAATTTTCCGCTTCGGTTAATTGTGGAACATGTGCATTTAATTCTATGGACAATGTCGATTCTGCCTGCCAATAATTCCATGTGTATTGATGGTTATTGTACAATGTTTTTATAGAAATTATTCGTGGTAACAATGCCAACATAGCAACAGAATGAATGCATGATGAAACGACGTCGTATTTCTCATACATGTTATCAAATCCTTCAAGAAAAGAAAGATTGGATTTGAAGAAAACGCAAAAGAAATAAATATAGATATCTTCACTCTCACTGTGTAGATCGTGAGAAGGAAGAAATCGTGTGTCAAAGAGAAAAGTCACATCAGTGAGCAGCGCAAACGAAAGGTAAAGATGATGGAATATGTTACCAGGAATGGTTTTTTGACAGAAATTTATTACTGATTCAGCATAAGCTGTTAACTGTGATGCCATTGTCCACCAAATCGTTTCGTGAGGGACACATCGAGGTAAATCCTGTATTGATAAAAGAAAAGAAACACATCGATGAAGCAAAAATAAAACGAAGCTGTTCAATGTTGTCGAATTATCTTTGCTTGGCTTTAACAAGAAAAAGAAGCGCATTCATCTTTACCTTTAAATGCATCGTATATGCATTATGTACTTTCTCTATGAACGTTTTTGTTTCCGATGATAATTTAAGATCAATATCACTGCTTGCAGTAAATACTAAACATGAAAAGTTATCTAACTGAAGAGTAAAAAACGTTAATTGATCTACTTTGTGTTGATTTGGATTTGATTTTTCGTCGTTTTGCCATTGACGTAATTCGTGCCGAATCAGTTGCTGTTGCCATTGATGTCGAACCATTTTGTAATTGTCGAATACTATTCAGATTTACACTTTCAAATCATTTACTTTTCTTTGATAAATTTACCTTTCTTTGAAAAGATTCGATTGTCGACCAATACGAGAAGCTAAAATCATTCTGATATGAAAAGAAAAGAAGATGAACTTTACGTACCATCCATTGACATTCCTTTCTGAACACATTTTCTGAATCGACATGCACGACATGTGACTTTAGATCCGGAACGTATTTCACAATTGTTGTTTTCCGCACAACGATACCTCTCCACTGCATTTTCTCGCATCGATCGACGAAAGAAACCCTATTGAAACTCAGTTTGATATTTTTTGCTAAAATATTTCATTGTTTCTCTCTTACTTTACACGCTTCACATGTTACCGCACCAAAATGAATGCCTGAAGATGGATCACCGCAGACTAAACACGGCAGTTTCTTGTACAAATCTTCAGTTTTTGGTCCCATCGACTCTATGAACCGAAGTCAAAATAGAAAGATCAAGAAGAAAATGAAATACCGTGAGGTTTCATTCCAACTGCTAAACATTTCTGAAATCGACAATATTGACATTGAGTTCTCGATCGTTTCGTGATTGCACAGGAAAAATCTCGTTGACATTTATACTTTTTATTTCCATCACCAGTCGAAATTGAACGAAGGAAAAATTTCTAAAAGAAAATCAACTTTTCATTTGCTGATTATTTGATTGTGAAAACTTACTTTGCATGCTTCACATGTTATTGCTCTAAAGATGAAAGAAACTCAATGAAAGATCAAGAAAAAACGAAGTTGAACTGACCCGCAATGCCAACCTGATGACAAATCACCACAGATTTGACAAAATTCATCTTCATTGAAACTCTGTGAACGCCCATACGAAGAAGAATGTTGATTATTACCATAAGACTGTCGCTGATCCAATGTGTAAATTTGTTCGTTAAACGGAACAGCCGAATGATCAACGCAAACAACCGTCGACATTTCCCTGTTTGTGATCAATCTAAAAAAAGAGAAAAATGCGAGTCAATGTTATCGTAAGTTCATAACAATCTGTTTCTTGTCAGATCATTAAAATAACATTTATCTCTTTCAGTCATGACTGATTCGAATGACAAAAAACGTTTTACCCCATCGGCAAAGTCAAACTCGAAGAAAAAAAGATAAAACAATTGTGTAATCGTATTAAATGTTATGTTTTAACAAGCAATATCGCGATTCGATCGTCATTTTTTGTCATTGATATACATCTTTTCAAGCCACAAGAAACTTATTCGAGAAAAGCAAAACACTGTTTTTAATTTACTTTGAATGAAGAAAGAAAAGTAGGCAAATACGAAGTATTGATCAAGATTTTATGATTTGATTTGATTGTTTTCTTTCTGGCAATAAAGCAATATAAAAATTCATGCGAAAAGGCGAAGAGAGTGTTCAAGAGAAACATGATTGCTAGCGAGTGAAAAACACCTCACAAAAACTTTCCTTCGCTTTGCTTGATCATAAATTTTTCGTTAAAATGATAAGATTAGATTACCTGATTGAGTTATATGTAAGTACAGTTCGTGCACAAATGTCTGAGGGTATGTTTGATGACTCGTTGGTTATGACTATGAGAGTGTTATGTTTTTAGCTTGTCTATAACTTGCTCTGCATACCCGTCGTATGCTTCATTCTTTTTTCTTTCTATTCGCTTCTCTATTCGAAGTCGTCCGTCAACGTCATCATTTACACGTGAGTTTCATCTTCTTCTCTCTTTCTCGTCGATGATAAAAATCTTCTATTTTTATGTTTCATAGTTAGCCGATTAATTCAAATATTATGCCCCATTCTCTCTATAAATCATTTCGAACAATACGACCAATAGATATGTGTAATATGTCAACGACTTCTTGTTGATCTGTTATGTTTTCTCTCTCTCTGTCTCTCTTGCTAAGAAAGAAAAGAAATCTATTGTTGAAACTAGAAATGATTTATTTATAAAATATGCGATTAGTTCACGTGCTAAAAACATCAAAGTATGAAAGTGAAAGAATTACACATGAAATAGGTGAAGAAATGCTCAAAAGAAGAAGTCAACTGTATTGATTATGCAATTCTCTAATGGATTCTATTCACAATTGAACCATATTTTTGAAGAAATAATCTTTATTAAAAGATGAAATAGCTTCTTCTGTTTTCTGCACGTAATATTGAATATGTTCAGTTACTTCTTCTTCATTTTTGAACCAAGTGCAACTGTAGAAAGTGACGTAAACGGCTGAAAACATAATTTCTAAATACCAGTTCAACTCTTTTAAATGAACCTTATCTTCCATCAATGTCGTATAACTCTTTTCTTGTTCAAGTAAATCTTGCAATCGTTTTTCTCGTCCATCATTATTATCACCATCATCATCGTCAAACCAAGCTGAAGTAAATTGAAGATCATTATTACTAAAAGTCATTGCTGCTTTTTCCCAATCAAGAATTCCTAACACGTGTCCATCGTGTTCATTCACTAAGATATTAGACGAATTTAAATCAGTATGAGTAAAACGAAATGGAATATTTTCATTGAATACATTCGGATCTCTTTGAATACATTCAACTACTGTTTCCAAAGGTGACAATAAATGTTTGGTCAATTCAAATAAGAATTCATCGGTTTGAATTCGTTTTATTGCCCAATGTAAATTCCCGATGATATATTCCTTAACTGTGGAAAATGGACCGAGCATTGGACTATCTTCAACGATTCCACCAAGTGACATTTCTTCATCTGAAAACGAACCAATTTGATTTTCACCGGAAAGTTTAATTCGACGTAACTGTTTGACATAGTCGATCATTTCTAAAGTAATTTTGAAAAGAGTCTCCTCGGACATGTTCTTCATGGAGACTTCTAAAGTATTTCCTGGAAGCTTTTCCATCAGAATATACTCAGCAGAGAGAATACTCGTTGTTGAATCATCGGAATAATCGAGTATTTTAGGCACGGGAATAGTTGTATGTTGAAGAACATATTTCATAGTGAAAACTTCGTTTCTTGTTCGAAATCTTCTCCAATAACGATGTGGATTGGAAACTTTCAAGATCAACTCTTGGGATTTGAATGATTTTGATTGTGTTTCGAGATGAAAAATGAAATTAATTCGTCCAGATGTTTTCAAATGTTCAAACAAAACACAATGAAGATCAAGTCTTTGCAAAAGTTTATCCAAATTTTCTTTCGTTACCTTCGATAAGATCAAGTTCACCTCTTCACATTGTTCGCCGTAAGTTGGATGCATAAGAAATTCCATTGTAGAATGGATCTAACAAACACTGTCATGATGATTTTATTCATGGTGATTGCGCAATGCATGAGTCAATATAAATTTTGACTAAAAAACGGTTTTCATATGTGCTTTTATTTTGAGATTCTTCATCACATTGCGTTGACGTTCTTTGTTCGATTCTCTTGCTATTGATAGGACTATTTCTCGACCTATGTGTGTTTTCTTTCGTTCTTTGTTTCCACTCTTTCACTCATTCGTCCAGTGTGCACGTGAGTAGTGATACAATCAATCATCGGAGTATTTTAGATGAATTTGAATTGTGCTCCGGACGTTGAAAGTTTATGTTTGACATTTGATAAACATGTTGATATATCATCGAAGACCGAAGATTCAGAGTAAAGCAGACGATTGATGAAATTTTCTAGTCAACCGATAATTTTTAGTCTCGTTCGCAGGAATTTATCCACCCAACATCGACCCCTAACTATCTCAACACTTGCCCATTATTTTGGCCTGCAATGCGATGAATATCTTCGTTTGACATTAAATCCGTCGTCCGAGTCGACGAAATCGGAAACATTAACGAGTTTTTTGACAAAACAACGCGGAATCTCTTTCGAGGAAAAGCTCAAAGCTTACTATTCAGCATCGATTTTATCAAACGTAACAACTTCGCAGGACTTTTTATCTTATCTTCGTTCAGCTCTATTAAATCCCGTCAAAGACCTTCGAATTGGATATAATGTTAAATTTCCATGGACTTATGATCAGAGTCTGCAAAGTAATTACAAACCTGATTTTTTGCTAATGCGTCATTCATGGAAAGATGGTCATCGAATTGAAATTACCATCGCCGACGCAAAGTCGTCAGCGCGCATGCGAGTTGAACATTGTGTTCAAGTTGCACTTTATGGAATTGATTTACGAGTATGGATCGAACGGAATCAACTCGATCAACGGGTGTATATCAATAGTTTCGGGGAAATTTGGTTACCAAATGAGAATTCCACAATACCGTATGAGAAGAAAACCTTTCCAATGATGAAACTACAAGACAAACTTCGATACTTTCTTCGACATGATCTCCAAGAAGTCCTTTCAGGTAAATTTTTCCTCATAAAATCTTGCCTTTCTTTTGTTATTGGGAATTCTAGGATCCAAATGGATTATGTTACCACGTTGTTCACTTTGTCCGTATGTATCTCGCTGTCGCCAACGTGCGCTTCATGACAAACCGGAATCGTTAAATAATTTATCATACTTAACTCGAACGGACCATTCGTTGATTCATTCATTTTTCCGATCGACATCTGCTTCCTCCATCGACTTAAACCTCATTCTTGATGAATTGAATACCAATGAGATTTATTCGAGCGAAAAAGCAAGACTTCAGCAGATTCTGGCGATCGATCCGAAAGAGAAAAAAAGTGCACTGATCGAAGCACTTCAAACTCGTGAACCACAGCTAAAAAGTCGAACTTCATTCTTAATTCCAAAAATCAATCAAGATTTGATTCTACTTTTTCTCTTTCTAATACCCAATCCATCTCAATTACATTCGGTTGCTCTTTTCGCTTATAATATCTATGATATGTTCAATCAAACATGGTTTTCTTCTCAGCCAATCGTTCAAACGTATCCATCACCTTCGCAAGTAGTATGTCTCATTGCTGAAGCCTTTGATCAATTACGAAGAACATCGTCACGTCCATGCCAAATTGTTCTTTTTGACGAACAAGAAAGAACTGCATTATTCGAACAATTAACTCTTGCATCCGATTGCGATTTAATTGGTGACTGCCTTGTTCTATTGAGCTCATCCGAAAATGCAATTTTACTTGATTATCCACCCGATGTTATTCAACAAGATCGATTATTTCGCTCACATCCACTATCCAACGTAAAGAAAGATGATATTGAACAGGAATTGAATGATCGTTACGGTTTAATCGTTGATAAAACTAAAACTACCAGCAAACTTGAATTAGCACAACAATTAAGACAATTAAATAATCAAGAACAAGAAGACGCAAGACGAAATCTCGTTGGTTTGCCATGTCTTATTTCATTACATACAGGTAAATAAAAGTTGAATTGAAAAAGTGTTATTACTTGAATTTTCTCATAGCCATTCGCCAATCTTTCGTCGTTCCCACGCCTGGATATTTCGATCTCGAAGATTTGAAATCTTCTTTTCAAATCTCTTTACCGTCATCGAAACCAACGGCAATCTTCGAAGCGATAACCAACGAAAGTGCTGTTGATGATCTTGTAAAACAATATTTTGACGTTCTCACTAGGCTCTATTCAATCATTCAAACTCGTCTGTCCGAGTCCAATCGTTTACAATTAGAAGCAATTCCACTACCAATCATAAACTCAATCCGAAGTTCGCATTCGCATATTCGTCGTCTAATATTCCTTCGTCAATATGAAATGTTATATTCGCTTCGTTCAATTCAACAAGCCCGTTTTGATATGAATGAACCGCCGATTCTCATTCGTATCCTTAAGAAAATCCCAGTTGACAGATATAATAATTCATGGGAGTGTCAAATCGAACGTGGTCAAGAAATTATTTCGAAGAATTTTCTGGAAGATGTCACGAATAATAGTGAATTTCGAACATATTCATACTTAATCTCAAAAGATAACTATTCAATACAAACATTTCCCGACGCTGTTTATATGGACTCAGCTATCGAAGGTCTTCGTTCTCGTACAAAATTGAATCAATACGGTTTAGCTCACGTTGAACTAAATGGAGAAAACGGAACGATACTTCTTCGAATGAAGCTCGGTGGTCTTTCGTTGGGAATCAACCAAGAATATTATTTAAGTGAGCGATATGTCGATTTTACTACTAAAAAAGCAATTCAAGCATTGGAACAAGTAACACCGTTGACTATTCAGATTTTTGATGATCCAAGACGATTAGAAAGGCCAGAAGCAATTCAAAAATCGAGTCGCGACTTTCAGCAAGAAATTACTAATATATTTTCGAAACGAGAACCCTCGATTAAACCAGATGGATTACATATGCTCAATAAAGCACAACAGGTCGCCTGCGAAAAAGTGAAAAATGAACGTGTCACCCTGATTTGGGGACCACCAGGTAACAGAGTATTAAAAAGCACAATTTGCAACACAGCAATTCTATTCGTTTAGGTACTGGTAAAACTTATTGGTCGAGTGTTACTGTATTTCAGATGTTGATGTTTTCGAAATCTCCGTTGCATATATTAATCACTGCGTGTACTCACACAGCAATTGATAATCTTCTCAATTCGATCAAATATGTGAAACATCTCTTTTCTTCCTCATCGCAATTTCCTCGATGGTGCGAATTAGCGAAGGAATTACAAGTTATGAAAATTGATTCGAAGAACTACCGTGATCTTTTGAATGTAAACAAAAAGAGTTCTTGGATTATTGGATCGACTGGTTGGACACTACAGAAACTTGATCGTTCGATTATATTCGATATTATTTTCGTTGATGAAGCAACACAACTGTTAACAAGTGATGCTGTTTTAGCATTAAACCGTTTAGCTGATCACAGAGAATCACGATTGATCGTAGCTGGTGATCCTTTACAATTATCTCCTGTGAAACGTTGTACTTATCCAACGTTGCCTCATCCGACTCCGGATTTGTTTTCGTCTCTCTTCCATTGTTTATTACGCGATGAAAACAATAGTCCAATTTGCTTGCAAACAGAAAAGCCTTTCGAGCAAATCTCACGTTGTCCATACTTATCGATTTTCGATGAAAATCACCGCATGAATGAACAATTGTCAGATTTTACACGTCTTCTGTATGGTGAAAATTATCGTCAAGGCCGTTCGAAGCCATTGCTCTCAGTTTGTCCGATTGATGAAACGCACGAATATCTTTTAGGATCACTTCTTGAGCCGTACAGTTCGCTTTATACCATTCTTGTCGATTCCTTTCCGTCATCTTCTTTGTCAACTCGTCTTGACGATATTTTTCTCGAATCGAACCTTGTTTGTTCGCTTGTCGAAGAACTTGTTTTACGTATATCACCCTCATCCATCTTTATCATCACTCCGCATCGAATGCAACGTTCTGTTATTCGACAAAAACTTCCTCAACATCGATTTTCTACTGTTTCCATTACTTGTGATACGGTAGAACGAATGCAAGGCAAAGAAGCACAGTGTGTTATATTATGTATGCTCTATCGTCAAAGTGAAATACTCGAAAATGAATTAGATTTTCTGTATAATCGGCAACGTATTAACGTTAGTATAACACGTGCTCAACAACTATGTATTTTATTAACATCACAACTAATGTTCAATCAACCACCATTAGACTTATTTATCAATGAAAATACGAGAAATGCCTATACACTTCTGAGTAATTATATAAATAAGTCCATAATACGATATTTGGACAACGAAGGAAATGTCAAATAATTGTTCTTATTGTTTATGTAAAAAATATTCTTACAAATTACATTATTAAATATTTCTTATCTATATTCTTGAAATAAAACTTCTAATCTTGGAATGTTTCTTTTGATTTGAAACTATTTTCTCGTTGAATGAGACTAAATATTCGTATAAATATGATGCATATTAATTTATTTATTTCGAACCAAAAATAAGATGTACTGGTAAATAGACTTTCAAAATGACAATATTAATGAAAAATATTTTTCCGGTTTCCCAAAAATGTCTAGTACATCGTCTAGCTAAATAGTCTTTCTTCTTTCGTTGATAATAGTCAATTTTCATTCTTCAGTTACCATTTGAACATACATTACAATTACATGATTGAATACGGCGAATTTCCACAGTTCTTGGTTCAGTTACTGTTCGTGAGCCATCAATATAACAATCGAAAACGATCGGTTGCAAATACGTTTCACCAACTGAGCAGCAGGTACATTGATCGTCATTAGATTCACATTGTCCACTGCAACGTTCTCGAGGAACATTTTCGCGTGAAACACATTGATCGTTATTGATTCGTAACGGTGCACTATCATATTGACGTACCGAACATTTGTCATGGCATACATTACAGCTACATGATTGAATACGTCGGATTTGTATGGTCTTCTCTACTGTTTTTGTTGTTGAACCATCGACGAAACAATCAAAAAGAACTGACTGTACGTAGGTTGTTCCAACTCCGCAACATTTACATTGATCACTACTATCTGATTCACAATAGCCTCCACATCGCTCTCGTGGAAAGCTACTTCGGGACACACATTGACCGTTATTAACTTTGATCGGTGCATTATCAAATTGTTGCATGGTACACTGAGTAGTATTCGTTATTGGTGTTGTCGATAGCACTCGGGTCGTTGTTTGAATGGTCGTTGTTGTTACCAGACATTGATTATCAGACAATTTCAATCCATCGGCTGTGCAATACACAATGTAGCAACGATCTCGAGTGCGGATTATTATGCCTTGCTCAACAGTATCATTGATGTAAACGATATTTCGTGCTTGAGTCGTGGCATTGACGTATGTATCGATATAGCCGATTTCCTCTGCAAGAATATATTTTCAGTCTTTTCTTTTAAAATCGTCTTCGAACTTACTGTCCTCAGTCGGCTCCTTTTTGAATACACGGGTATAGAATGCTTCGTCAAGCGTGCATGTGCAACGACGTTCTGTGCAAGATTGATGCTCCACAAGTTGTTCTTTGCTGCAGCCCTTCGATACTGTTGTATTCCGCGAACGCGTCTTATACCCGATACCGCAAGTACGACTACAAGGTGTCCACTGCGACCAATCCGTCAGAACACATGGAATACCCGTTGTCGTTGTTTCTGTACCTAGAACAAACAAAACCATTCTGAAACGACACTTCCTTCGTCTTGCATACCGAAAGCAGAACAGGCATAAACCTCCACACGTATATTTTTCGCGTCACCATTTGGCGCAATACGTATCTTCGTAGCGTTCAACGTATCAGGCAGGACAATCTCAATTCCATTCAAAACAGATCCCTAACAACAATCATGAAACTTCACATGTTAATCCTCTCTCAAGTCGTACATACATTATTAAATGCCGCCCACACTGGGAAGACATCGGAAGATGTTTGATAATATAATCGCCACTCTTTCAAATTATCACCATTCAAACGAATACGTCCGATCTTAATACGCAACAAGAAGACAGCTACACAAAATACACAAAAGCCCACCACATACCTCAACTGGATGACGAAAATCGATATTCAGCGACGAATATGCTGATGAAGGTGTCCAACCAGTTCCATTCGATCGAATCACATACCCAACAAACTTCGTTTCTCCTTTTGTAATTTCCGTTATAGAATCAGCACCAACCAAACCAAATTCTTCATCTAGGGTGTTTTCATTCTGACAGCGGCCAACCAACACACCAATAGTTGTCGTTCCATTTACCACATGGTCTGTAGAACCAGAGCTGCCCATAGCTGTTGTGCTACCCTGACTACCAGCTGGTCCTGTTAATCCTTGACTACCGCCTGGTGCAGTTGATCCTTGACTACCCCCTGGTCCTGTGGTTCCTTCACTATCGATTGGTCCAGTTGATCCTTGACTACCCGTTGGTCCTGTTGAGCCTTGACCGCCAGCTGGTCCTGTGGTTCCTTCACTACCGATTGGTCCAGTTGATCCTTGACTACCCGCGGGTCGTGTTGG